TTTATAGTTAAGATCAGCTTTACAAAATCTGTACTTACTTTGTTTTCTAGTTGTTACATTTTTACAGCTTCACTGCTGATCATCAACCCATTTTATTTATACATGAATATGATTCTGCTGTCATTCTTATACTAATAGTAAACAGGGGGGGGGGGGGGGGGGGACCATTTGAGGCCGTTAAATATTATGAATTAATCAAGTAACAGAAAGTATTGTGAACGGCACTCATACTAATAGTATAGCATCATCATCATTTGGCAGGTCTTTTGCAGAATTTCACTCTCAGCACAGTCTGCATAAAAGAAACTTGGTCTCTCACCAGCTCTCCTGCCTCAGGCGCTGTCATATCAGAGTAGTTACGTATATCCTGTGCCCATCTTCAAGTTGGTCTGCTCTACCCATCCTCCCTTCTGTTATTTTTTTAAATCCGCCATTGTGCTTAATATGGCCAAAATTCTTCTTCTTCGTTCACCAGCTGTGAATTCCGGCGGTAAGTCCAGGTTAATCGTCTGCTTGAACTTTAGGCATTTGCCTGGACCTGAGTTTTGCGTGTACAACCGTTTTACTGGCTTTTGACCTTCCCTGCCTCGCAGGCAGATGTACTCCGACTTGAGGGGAGACGTCAGGCCTATTTCTAGGATGACTATGGCCATTGTTTTGTGTGTTACCTTATTTGTGTGATGACCTCTTTGTCCCTTTCTCCTCGGGTGTTGCCCTCGGAATACCCCCTTTGGGGCAGCCCTGTGTGGAACGGTTAGCCCTCAAGGGAAGGCAGAGGCAGATCATGGGCATTTTCTGCCATCCAAGGAGGCTTCCATAAATGCAGAGCCGATACATAATGCTCTGATTCTGGGCTCACCCAAGGAATCGTCATGTTCTGCACATAACTGCTTAACCTCGCAACCGTATTAGGCTTCCCGACTAACACAGGCTGCGCCCTCCGGAGATCAGCGGGGAGCAGCCATTGGGTTCTGGACTATTATGGCCACACAAATAGGTACATTCTTCTTCATTGCACGTTAGACACCTTTAACGTTGTTTCAAGTGTGCCCTTGGCACGACAGTATGGGGGAAGCATGAGTCAAGCGTGGCTTCACCTGTTGGGTCCCAACACTCGGGCGAGTGGGGTCAGTGTATATGGACATTTGGACTTTTTTATAATCGGTACGATTTATGACGGTCGGACTTTGAGCTTGCTTGTATGCCGTAGGATCTAACTTTGTCGGACCTTATTACCTAGCCAGCAGATGAAAAGTTGTTGTCGTTGTGTACCACAGCGCGGTGACGACGACACTGAAGATTGACAGAGGGTGTACGTAGGTAGGATCTGACTGCGAGAAACCACCCACAAGAGATGTTACTCGTCTTGGCTGCTGGTAAATCTCTTGGTCAAGGGTTGAGTCTCAGCAGTATAGTTTTCCATTCGCTCCAGACTTTTAACCGAGAGTTGTCATTAGGTGGTACATTTGGCAAGCAGACTTTACTCATGTTCCGAATAAGTTTTGATAGACTTTTCACCCATGCGTTTGGGGGCAGGCTGATGAGGGCCAGAAAGGACACTACACCTCTGGGGGCCGCCAGCTCCGAGATCCGCTGCCAACTCTGTTAATGCTCATTTGAGACATTATCCGTGGTGCACGACGGGGACGTGCAGCAAGAGTCTTGCATGAGGTTCCGTAAAACCAGAACAGTGAAGGGCTGGCGCCCGAGTGAGGTACGGAGTATCTCCTTATACACATCACATCAGACTTAACTTTCCCTCAAGCCTGTGACCGAAACCATGGCGCCAAATATATCCAAAATGTTTCAGCTTCTGAGGCAAGGTGCCGTTATTAGCCAATCTTCCTTGCTGTTCTGATCTCTAAGGATGTCAGTATTTCTTTTCTTCTGTGTATTCTGAAAATCTTTCTATAGCATATCAACTCCAAAGTCCCTTTTCTTGTTCTATAACTTTTTGAATCCCATGGGGTTTAGCGTCAGAGGCCAAAGTGGTAGTCAAGAGAGACATAAAATTGGCACATCGTGCGTTCATTTGGCTTCTTGATAGGAACCTATGAACATATGATGCGTTCCTTGGGACTCAAAAAAGTTAAGGAAGGAGAGATAGCCCACGAATTATATCCATACGTTGCTACAGGGAAGATGCATGCTGTGATAACTTTAACTATAGCGTATTATACAGCACTCTACGGAAGGTTGGTTCATCTCTTATTCTTAACACTCCCCAGCTGCACTCTGGCAGAAAGTTCTGGTTGTTCATCCACTTCTGGGCTTTGGTCTTATTCTGGAACGTGAATTTGGTGTCCACTTCCATTTTACAGATGAGGTTTATTTGTATGCAGACTGTTGGTTCCTCACCTCACAGGCAGATGCACTCCGACCCTTTAAACACCCCTGATTAGTCACCTCCTCTGGTATGCTCCTTAGTTTTGCTGTGGTTATCTTCTCCCTCTTCCTCAAAATGAGACCTCCGAATCCACACGGGGAGCAGAAGGTTGGCAGTTGTTGCTTTAAGAGTTTTGTGGGTAGTTTGTTTATGAAGCTTGAGTTCATAGTTCATGTTTGAGATCATCTTCATCGAACATCGGACATGACCATAACTGCTCCGATCTCCTCCTGAGTTTGTCTGTAAGTGTTTTTAGGCTAGCAACTCCCATTCTGTTCTGATTGATGTAGCAACGGGTGACTCTAGCATGGTTTTCCTGTCAAACTGCCACAGCTGGTACACCCAGGGTAAGTAGTCTAATTTTCCACGAAACTGAAAGGCTCATAGCATTAAGTCCCTCATATAGCATTGATGATGTCTCTCCTGCCCATAGAGGGCCCATTCCTAATAGTCGCACTGCCAGCCAGAGCTTCTGCTCTCTCATTGACTTTCACACCAGCATACCCTGGGACGAAAATGAATTTGCAAATTTCTGCGTGCTGAATCAAATGGAGCCACTGTTTCCGTGTGTACACCACATTGATCTTCTTTAGCATGCTCATTGAGTCACTGAGCACGTATGCATTCAAGCTTAAGTTAAGTAAGGCAAGCACCTTTTTGTGTAGCTGTGCATGGGACATATGATGTTGGACTCATTTTCATGCACCCTTCAGCGCTAGATGGGTTCTCAGCTGTGTACAGGAATTCTGTCACACTGAATTGTACTTCAGCTCTACACACACATCATAATTGTAACTAACTCACAGATCATGCTGAGAAAGGTTGTGACAGACATGTTTTGTGTAGATTGGCAAGCATCGTTTCAGAGGTTCTGGGTGGTTAGCGTCCTTTAGGTATTTTCTTCAGGTTGGGCCGTTGCGCTAGAAAATGAGCAGGCAGGCAGACTGGCCAGTTCTGCATCATTTGGTGGTGAATTGATGTAAGACAAGCTAGATGTTATGAGGGCCCTTTGGTAGCGAGTGAACAATGCGAGGCACAAATATATCATTACGGTCTGAGGAGAATGGTGCTGCATGTAGTTACCAGGGGCTTGCTGACGCTTAACACTGAAAGCAAAGGCGAGATGAAGGTACAATCAGATAGTTACTGGTAACATCGCAGTTGGAACTCTTCGCTTGCTGCTGAAGATGGGGGCGAAGTGCTTATGTGGAGTGTCCCCAGTGCTACATTCAACTTGTTCCTCAGTGTGTATACTGTTGTTAGAAGTTGGGAAAAAATCCGAAACTTGTCCACGCCTTCATGTGTGTTAGGCATATAGAGACCTATATTTTTAAGACCAGTCTGCACTCGGTGGGGGATGTGGTCAGCCTCACACCAGCCGCCTTTTCTTCCCAGGACTTTACCTGGTATCCTGGTTAGCCTGGACCCAACGACATTTTTAAATTGGTAATCTTCTGACGCGGTTAATCGGTTCCTTTGTAAGTTAATAATTTCTTTTATAACATCTTCATTACACTTTTATGTTATCAAAATCGACATCGCTGCACATTGGGCATTCCCATGTGTGCTCAGTCCTCCGATGCAGCAGTCACTCCAAGGTACTGCTGCTAATTTCCACGACCTTCCGATCCTCAGGCGAGTGTCCAGCCGCTACACCACCATTGTTATTACCTGCATTTACCATTTTTAAGGTGAGGGGGGGGGGGGGGAGAGTTGAGAGGCTGCATGGCTAATTTAGTGGGTTTTTCCCCTTTAATTTAACCACTACCTTCCTTAACTCTTCCTTCCTTTCTTGCTTCCTAACCCCTTCCTACCTAAACTCTAACTTCTGACATCCTTAACCCATTCTTCCTTCCTAAACCCTTCCTTCCTAACCATTTATTTCCTTCCTTCCTTCCTTAATCATTCACTTCTGCCTTCCTTCACTTCTTCGTCTCTCCCTTCCTTCATCGATAATTCACTTTTTCCTTCCTTCCGTCCTTCATAAATCATTCACTTCTTCCTTCCTTCTTTCCGTCATTACTCATTCACTTCTTCCTTCTTTCTTTCTGTCATTAGTTAATTTCTCCCTTCCTTCCTAAACAATTCACTTCTCCTTAACTTCCTTCATTCATTGATCATTCACTTCTACCTTCCTTTCTAAACGATTCACTTATTCCTTCCTACCTGAACACTTCCATCATTAACTTCTCCCTTCCTTCATAAATCCTTCCTTAATTAACCTTTCCTTCCTTGACCCCCCCCCTTTCCCCTCTTTCCCTTCTGTCTTCTTTCTTCCTAAACTTTTCCTTCCATCCATAATCTTTTTTCCCTCCTCGCCTTTTTTTAAAAATTCTTCTTCCCTTCTTTTCTTTCACCTCCTTCCCTCCCTCCTTTCTTCCATCTTCTGTAAACTAGAAACAAAAGTGACACAGTACCTGCATGCCAGAGTTTTCTGAGCAGCTGTTTCTATCAGTTATTTGTGTCATATACTGTAAACTTAATTGGCTTGTTTACTTTTCTCTCTCTCCAGATTTGAAGCGTGAGATATACAGAGAGAAAAGAAGAGAAGAATGTTTAAATAAAATTTTCATCTGCAATCTTTAAATGAAAAAACAATAATTTCTGCTTGGCCATGTTTCGGTTGAATTCTCATTTGCTGAGAGTTTTTAATGGAGATTTGGCTCAGAGGTTGATCGGAGAAAGACCGCACAGGTGGGCATTAATACCATGTTGCTGCCGTCTGCTGTCAACTTCACCATCATCTTTCGCTGTTATGGAGGGCTCCACCCGTGTGCCTGCTAATTGCCAGGTTGTCATCTGTGGTGGTGGTATCATAGGTTCATCGGTGGCATACCATCTGGCAGAACGAGGCTGGACTGATGTTGTCATTCTTGAACAAGGAAGGTAAGAATAAACATGCTTGTTATTAGAGCTGTACTGAACATTTGCTCCGTATTCGCTTCAGAGCCGAATAGTGGACCTAATAACTATTCAATATTCGGCCGAATGCTTGCGGTCGGGCCGAAATACGCATAGTGGTTACCTTACGCCCACTTGTGATACACTGCCTTAATGCTGACAACATGGAACAATTGATTTTGTTGAAAGCTAATGCAGCTTTCATGCATTAACTAAGCTGTCAGCGACAATTTACAAGTTTAGTTACTTGTTATAATACCTAGAATACTTTCATTCCTGGTTATTAGTTACCACAGACTAACTGAAGGATCCAAAACATAAAATGTTTTCTAAATGTGTACTATTCTGTACTACATTTTGTGAAGTGAAAGTTCAGCGTACATTTGACATTATGAATTTTGTTTAAATTTATTTATATACTATACACTTTTCGTATTCAGCCAAATATTTGGTCCCGTTGTTAGCTCTACTTGTTATAGATATCATCATCCTGCCTAGGTCTTGAGATACAGGTGAAACAGGTGTGAAAATGCTGTGGTCGCTGCGTATACCAGATTTCTTTAGCAAGTTCATACCAAAAAAATAAGATAATCTTTCCCTGATGTCTCTGAGTTGAACACAAGCATGTTCTGTGCAGAGTGACAGCTATTGCTTCAGAGGTAAGAGGTAAGTTCCTTTGGATCTTTTCTCGGGGGCTTACAGGTGTCTTAGATAATAGACAGACAGACAGAGTGGCTGATCCAGCACCACATGGTCAATTGGTTCATAACAGTCTAGATGTGTCATTTCCCTTTAGGAGCAAGTGAACAAAGCAGGGGCACAAATAGATCAGTATGGTCTGGAGAGAATAGTACAGCTTTGAGTGACCAAGGGTGTTTCTGGCACATAGAGGAAAGTCAAGACTGACGTGATCAATTCTTCATAATTGTAGCTCCGCGCTTGGTGCTGAAGGTGGGGATTGTGCTGTAATGTTGTTTCCTAACTCCGGTCAGCTGTTTCCCTGATTGATTGAGTTGAGTTGATTTAACAAGTGACATGACATCACTTGGGGCATTCCCATAAGTGCTTCATCCCTATGTTCAGCAACCAGCGCAGAGTTCCAATACCAGTGGTGCTATAGCTGTCTGATTATATATCCATCTTGCCTTTCCTCCGAGCGTTGAGTATCGGCCAGAGCCTCTCATTACTTCCCCCTGCATCACTCTCACCAGACTGGTGATCAGTTTACTCATTGAATTGTACACATTCTCCCACAATGCCCTAACCGCGTCTGCCTTATGCATCAGTATTCCCCCAAGTTGTGCAGAGCCAGCCAGTCTGCCTGATGTTGTGGTATCATATGCTAGGCTCTCCTTGATTGATGACACTAGGGAAGATTTGTCAGTTTAGAAACGGTCTCTTATGCCTAATGTCAAAAGCACCTGCCTTCTCTTAACCTGATACTAGTGCATTTCCAGGGCAGTCTGTCCAAATAAGTTTCCACAGATTTGTCTTCTGCTTCTCTTCCTCTGACTACCTCATCAGAGTGTTATGGGAAGATGTGAGGATCTTCTCTGAGCTCTTTTTAACAGAGATCGTAATAGAGACAAGAACTCAGACATGATCGAAGACTCTGGTGATTAGTTGACGTGGAAAACCATGATTGCCCACACGTATCAACATAACACTTCTTCTTCTTCTTCTTCTTCTTCTTCTTCTTCTTCTTCTTCTTCTTCTTCTTCTTCTTCTTTTTCTTCTTCTTCTTCTTCTTCTTCTTCTTCATCTTCTTCATCTTCTTCTTCATCTTCTTATTCTTCTTCTTCTTCTTCTTCTTCTTTTTCTTCTTCCTCCTCCTCCTCCTCCTCTTACTCCTCCTCCTGCTTCTTCTTCTCCTTCTCCTTCATTTTATTCTTTTTTTATTCCTCTTCTTTTGCATATACCAGCTATATACTCCAGTAGAAAGTCCTGGCTGTTCATTCACCTCTGGACTCTGGTCTTGCTCCAGAACTTGAGAATTGTTTTCACATACATTTTATAGATTTAACATTTATGTGCAGACCCTTGCCTCTCAGGCAGATGCACTCAGACTGCGAACGAAGGAAACATCACTCCTGTCTACGCTGGGCAAACCCCCATTTGGAAACCCTGTTTCCAGGAAGAGCATGGAGTGGTCTCGATTTGACCAGTATCAGCTATGGTGCACCTCTCGACCCTGACTTGCTACATGATCATTAACCTTTAGTCACATATAATTCTTAATGACATATCACCAAGAATACTTAACGTGATTTTGTGTAAGTTAAAAAAAACCAAAAAACATTTCAGCCTGACATGTGGAACAACCTGGCATTCGGTGGGTCTCGTTGGCCGACTTAGATACAGCAGAACTGAGCTGAAAATAGTCGACTACAGCAGACAGCTTTACGAGCGGCTGGAAAAGGAAGGCCATGGTTTAGGTATGTTTTATTATCCTTCTTTTTGTTGCAAACTCTGCCAGATGTTTCTTTTCTGAATTGTCGGCTGTCTTAACTGCATGCATTTAAGCTTTTATTTGTTGTTTTTACAGGAAAGGACAAGTAAATTAAAAATGGCATTGAAGTGCAAAGGCATTAAACAGGCATCATATTCTAACATAGGGTGTTGCCATGGCAGAGCAGCCAGATGCTTGCTGTGGACCAGAGGGTCGTGGGTTCACTCTCTGGCATGCTAAACTTTTTAAAAAAAATGACCTTGGTTCCCAGTTGACCCAGCCTTGAGTGGGTACCGAGTGCAGTCCCGGGAAGTAAAGGCGGCTGGCTTGATGCTGACTACATCACCCATCTTGTGCCGATTGGTCTATAAAATATAGGTCTAGCCCTATGTGCCCTATACGCCTAAATACATGGAAAAGGGTCCTTTACTTACTATTATAACATTAACTGAATATGATGAAAATGGATAAAGAAATTAATATAGGATGCACTAAAACAAACCAAGTACTGGGACAGCTAGCGCCCCCTCTTACAGCATAAGACAATCCCAGTCAGCACAAAGAAACGTCTCATACAAAGCATATTTATTCCCACTCTGTGCTAAAAGTGCCAGACATGGCCATCCACAACAAACCATCAAGAAAATTAGTAACCACAGAAATGAGAGATGCCTGAGAAGTGCTGCATAAGTGACCAGAAATGATAAAAGCAGAAGCGAAGTCATAATAGACAAATTCAGCACAGAACTAATAATAAATTACATACAAAGACAGTAGTTGAAGTGGTTCTCCCACTTAGAGAGCATGCCTCATAAAGCTGTACCATACATGGTGTGCACTAATGGAGGTAAAGGACGCAGAGCACTAGGAGGCCAAGAACAAGATGGAAAGATAACATCACAGAAACCTTACAACAGCACAATGTTTCTATGCTTGCAGCAGCCACAAGAGCAAGAAGCCGAACCTTGACATCTGAACCAGTGAAAGAATAAGTTCAGAAAAAGGAGGAAGAGATAGTGGTGGGAATGGGGAGGGGGGAGAGGTGTCTGTGAGGGCCACTAGACCAATGCCATCATCTCAGACTGCATGCATTAAGACTTTATTTTTGCCTTTCCCAAAAAAAAATTCATCACCTTACGGAGCACTCACACCTGGTCCCCAAATGGGAACCCAGTGTTATCGACTGTTGAGACAGCCGCATGACGAGTGTGTCACTATCAGGTACAGGTTAGGTTTTAATTCTTGCCCCCGACTAAAAATATCATAACTTTACAGAGCATTTAAACCTGGGTCTCGACCAGGGCTGCTCAAAAAACTTTATTTTAGTAGATAAAACTAATGTCATGACCCTATGACCTTTATCATTAAGGTTTACTGAAAATTCAACATCAACTCGGAAAAACAAATTTGGTTCAATGAAAACTCTCTAAATTTGGTTCAATTTATAACTAATATATTCATATCCTGACCTCCTAAACATTTGCGCTGGTGTGAACTTAATGGAAATATATGTCTACCTAGTAGTGTTATCCAAGCATGTTGTACACATGTCTCTATAGACAAGTCAGAACATTGCATTTATGGGAAATTAGGTGTCAGTTTTGCGGCTTCAAGGGGCAAAAAGGTTAAATGGCAAATCTGAGAATCTGTTGATTTGTCTGGAGTGCTGTGAAAACAACCAGACTTGTATCTCGTAACTTTAAAAAAAAATGCCTTCTTTTGATACAACAATCTAAAGCAGTGATTCCTAAACTGTGCACAATTTTCAAAGATACACAAGTTTTATTTAAAAAAAAATTTTTTTTTAATTTCTTACATACGAATAGTCATACTTTTACTTAGTTTAGGGTGACATGAAAAAAAATTAATTGAAAAAAGGTGCAGCAACTAAGAAAAGTTTGGGAAGCACTGCTCTAAAGCAGACTGACATAATAAGTGTTTCCACAGGGACATGTCTAAAAAGCTCATGCACAATTTTCATGCAAACTCATCAGTGTTTATGTGAGCTTCTTCTTATTTTTCTTCTTCACTTCCTCTGCTATCACTTCAGGTGTTAGAGAAGATACAAGGTTTTTGATTTTTTGCTTTTTTGGCCGCTTTGGCAACAGACACTTAATACTGTTTTAGAATTTCTCTGTCGTTCCATTTTGTTTCTTGTTCTATCATGCTCTCTGCATCCCCCTCCTCTTCTGGTATATGCCATATATGGTAAACATTACAAGACTTTCTTTCTAAGTGAACCACTGACACTGGCAAGACATCAGCTTGGCTGCTTCAGGATACGATAGTTAACTCTTTCAGTCCCAGGGGTTTTGACGTCTGAGGCTCAAGGGATAGTCAAGAGAGACGTAAAAGCATTTATTGGGCTTCTAGATAGCAACTTCTGAATGCATGATGCGTTCCTTGGGACTGAAAGAGTTAAGTAATTTTGTCTATTCATGTGATTTTATTTGATTTATGTAATGTACCGATGGATGTCCTGTAGCCGCAACATTCACTGTCCATTTGTGTTAGTCACATAGTGAAGCTCACTGATCTACTTTTCAGTCAGTTTTTTATCTCTCCATGATATCTTTTTGAGTGAGCACACACATTTTGTTTGCTGTCTTTGTATGTAATTTGGAACCACCACGGCATAGCGGCTAGACTTTCACCTGTGGATCCAAATTTCATGAGTTTAAATTTGAATAGTGCCAGAATGTTTGGAAAATGAACAGGCGGAACATTTGGTTGGTTCTGCATGACTGGGTGATGGATTTAAGCATGACAAACTGGATATTATCAAGGCCTTTTGGGAGCGAATAAATAGTGTAGAAGTGAGAACAGATCATCTTTGTCTGCAGAGAATGATGCAACCGGGAGTGACCCGGGTATCTGGCCAACACGCAAGACTCAGTGAAAAGGCCAGACAAACAAACAGTCAGACTATTACTGGTTCCATCAGAAGTGAAACTCTGCGATGGATGCTAGTGGTGGAAAGTAGCACTTATAGAAGTCACATGGGTGCTGTGATATCGGTTCCTAACTTCAAGACACAATTTTTTCATCTTGACAATTATCTGTGCGTTTCTATTGCAGGATGGAAGCAGTGTGGTAGTTTGAACGTTGCCAGGACAAAAGATCGTCTGATTGATTTCAAGAGGAAACATGCAGTAGCCAAGTCAGTATATGACTGCAGCTGTTTCTGGTGTTCTTAGTTTTGTTTTAACTTTTCACTGTCCAGATTTCATTATCTAGATTTCATTCTCTAGATTTCACTCTCAGATTTCATTCTCTAGATTTCAATCTGTAGATTACAAGCTCCAGATTTCATTCTCCAGGTTTTATTCTCTAGATTTCACTCTCTAGATCTCATTCTCTAGATTTCACTCTCTAGATTTCATTCTCCACATTTCAGTCTCCAGATTTTATTCTCAGGTTTTCATTCTCCAGATTTCCAGTTTTCCCCATATGGGTTCTGAGACCTCATTTTGGAGGTTTGGTGCGGGGAGGGAGGTGGGGATAGAAGCACTTCTGCCAACAAGCATGTGCTAAAAGGTGATTTATTAGAACCTTCATGAAATTAAATGTATTATGCTAAAAGGCACAGATACCACAGTCTAGCTGTAAATCACAACACAGTGTGGTAACTTCTTCTAAGTTAGAGTGCAGAAGAAGAAGATTCTGTAGTTTTCTTCTAGGTAGAAAGGTGAACAGACAGTCTTTCCAAACTTGGAGAAAGCAGAATCATCGGGGAATGAGCAGTGGGCTTTTCTCATTGGTTACTGGTTGACCGGGTTGCGGGTCAAGTTAAGTGTAACTCTGGAAATACTTTGCAGGCCATGAGAGATTTGAGCCATTTTGATTTCGTCATCATCATCATCATCATCATCATAATTATTGTCATCATTGTCATCATCATCATCATCATTATCATCATCATCATCATTGTCATCATCGTCATCATCATCATCATTGTCATCATCATCAGCATCAACATCACATCATCATCATCATCATTGTCATCATCGTCATTATCATCATCATTGTCATCATCGTCATCACCATCGTCATCATCATCATCATCGTCGTCGTCATCATTATTGTCCTGTTGTGCCATTTGTGTCACATAGGGCTCTTGTCTATTTCTCCATTCTGTTCTGTCTAATGCAATCACTTCAGTATCACAGATGGAATCCAGTCCAGTTCTTTCATCATCGTTCGTTTTAGGCTTTTCTTTTAATTCTGTCCTGCATTCATTTTTATTAATTACTGTTCTCACTCTATAAAGTATTTATTTGTGATTTGGATGATAAATTGAATTTTGTGCAATTTTGTTGTTGTTGAGTTAAATTTTTTTTCTTTCAAACTTTTGAGTCCCAGCGGGTTTAGCATCACAAGCCCACTGGGGTTGTAGAGAGATCAAATCAGTGTCATGCGTTAGTAGTAGTAGTAGATTTTACCCCACTAGGACATCACACAAGCAATAAACACCCGATGACACAAAGTGCCACCATGTGGATTGTTGTACTTACCAGGACATCACACAAGCTATAAACATCCGATGACACAAAGTGCCACCATGTGGATTGTTGTACCCCACCAGGACACCACACAAGCAATAAACACCTGTTAACACAAAGTGCCACCATGTGAATTGTTGTACCCTACCCAGGACATCACACAAGCGATAAAACATCCTGTGACACAAAGTGCCACCATGCGGATGAGGATCACTGATGGAGAGGTCCCAAAAACCATTTCAGCTGTTATGGCCACAATTGCGGCCCAGCTACATTTAGGGCCCCCAGCAAAAGCCAGGGTGGGGCTTCAAATAACACAAAATTGCATCCCACAAGGGAATCACTGATAGAAATATAAGCATGCGTTAATTGGGCTTCTAGGTAGGAACCTCTGAATGTATGATGAGTTCCTTGGGACTCAAAGAGTCGAGGACTGTTTTTTGGGATGGCGGGGTCTGAAAATGGAAAGTATGGGAGGATGGCTTTGTTTGTGTCGGGGTGAAAGGGTTAACCAGAGATGTATATTTTTGTTAACATTTAAATATTATCTTTTTTTTAAGAACTGTTGGTATAGAGATGCACATTGTCTCCCCTTCTGAAGCCAAGAAATTATGCCCCTTGATGTATACAGATGATTTGGAGGTCAGTTTTCTCTGCTTGTCTGTTACTCTGACAGCTTGTTAGTTTTGTCTAGCTGAATTTCTGTCCTATCTGGCTACCTGCCTTTCCAGTTTTCCATTTTTACCTTTCTGTTCTGCTTGTTTATCTCTGCTTTTCTGTCCTGTCTGCCAGCCCATCTGCCAGTTTACTTGTCTGTCTGCCTGTTTTGTCTGGAAGCCTGTATGTCCCACATACCTGATTGCCTGCCGGTCTCTTTTTTCTTTACTGCCTATCTGCCTGCCTGCCTGTCTTTTTTTTTTTTTTTTTTTGAAGTTTCCAGAAACCTTTGGCTTGGTACTATGGATATTGCAATCTTCAGCCTTGATTCCATGATAGGTACCGTAAGTCTGTGAGAAATGTGGCTTTTCTGCCTACCCCCGGGAGTGAACCCAGACCACAAGGAGTTTGTCACCCGGTCACTGCGCAGTCAACTGCCTGTCTGTCTATCCATTGACATCCTTGTTGGCACTATTCAGTCTTGCAAATGATAGTGTTCCATTGTGTTATAGAGAGACATGGGAATCACAACCCATGAGGATATCAGTTAAAGCGAGAGATAGTTTCTTCTCTCAATAACACACAGCCTGGCCAGTGTTGTAAAGATCGCATGTAGCCCTTGCAGCGTGATCTCTTCCTTAGTCTGCTTCCGGAGAAAAAGGTGACACCAATACATTTGGAATTAAGCAGGCTGCAGAAGCTACTGGATTAGAAGAGGAATGCTCTATCTTTCTGCCTGTCGGAGCTTCCTTTCTAGACTGGCTAAGAGCCTGGTCTGCCGTACCATAGATTGTCATACATCAATTCACCACAGAGCAGTGCCGCCAGCTAAGTCTAAAAACCTGGTCTACCCTGCCGTAACATTCCCTCGTCTTAGGACAAGACTACTGATCACTCATAACAAACCAGAAAAGTAAATTAATGACCATGGAAATTAGATGTCTGAGAAGGGCCACAGAGGTGTCCAGAAGAGATAAAATCAGGAATGAGATCACAAGAGAACAAGTTGGGACAGAACCAATACTAAATTACATACAAAAACAGCAAATCAGATGGTTTCCATACTTAAAATGCCAGGCGACACCATACCATATAAGGCCTACGCCAGAAGGGACGGACATAGAGCAAGAGGTAGAACAAGATGGAAAGATGACATCAGAGAAACTCTACAGCAGCATGATATATCTATGGTCGAGGCAGCCAGAAGAGCAAGAAGCAGAGCCTTTTATCTCTCCTGAAACCTAAGTAGAAAAATAAAGATGTGGCTTTTATCAATCCCCCTCCATCCCCAGTGCCCCCCCCCCCCCCCCCTTATTTTAGTAATTGTTTTCTCCAATTCCTTGTGTCTCATCCACTTATTAAATTAACCAACTCTTACCTATAGTTACTTTAACTCGTTCAATTCTATATAATTATTATTTTAACACATATAGATGTAGCCTTGATTAATGTGAAGCAGTAACTTCTTTAAACAGAAAAAGTTGTCACTGTTTGTGTTTTAGTTCCTCATTTTTTTTTTGGGGGGAGGGGGGGGGAGAAGAAACCCATTGCTCCCTAACAAGCTTGTCTAACAATCAAGGCGACTCATAAGGGGGTGTACAAATAAGCCAGACCTGTCAGATGGACGAGCATGCAAAACTCAAGTTCTGGAACAAAGAACAAAGTCCAGAAGGGGACGAACAGCTAGAACTTTATCTGACTGGAGTTTACAGTCGGAGCACGCGTAGATGGAGAAGATGATGTTAGAGCAACCCCTCTCTGGTACTGAAACAGTGGCGAAGAGCATACATTTATTTGAGGTCCTCCTCTAGTGGATTTGCAGAGGGAGACTGAACACTTACATAGGTATCTGTGGACATTAGAAGGGATTGTGTACAAACAAAGACGTACTTAAAAATAGCATGAATTCAAAACAGTGTCTTTCTGCCAGGGTGCAATTTGGATACCTCACGATGGCGTTGTCACAGCACCAGACGTCAGTCTGACTCTAGCAAAGTTAGCCAAGGAGAAAGGTGAGTACGTTGCCAGTTTGTAACATCTTGTATAGAATTTTCCCCTGCTGGCCCCAGGGTTCAATTTTTGGGAGGTAAAACAAGATTAGACCCCTTAGATCTTCAGTTTAACGCTCTCTAAACTGAGCAGTAGACTTACCCCCTCCCCCCCCCCCACCTCCTCTTCCCTTACTTACACCATTAACATAGGTCATAAAAAGGTTATTAATTAAGAGTTGTTAAAATATCAATATGCACACAGCACACACACACACACAAATAGCAGCTGGTAAGCTTAAATAGACTGAAATGGTTGGGGCATGTTAAAAGAATGTCAGATGACAGAGAAGTAACAACTGTATACACCAGGGAAATGAATAGTCGTCAACCACAAGGCAGACCAAGAAGACAATGGAGAGATAATATCCAGACAGACCTGCAAACACTTGGTGTCACCAACTGGAAAGGGAGGCCAACCAGAGAGATGAATGGAGGCGGGTGATGTCTGCAGCAATGGACCTCAAAGGCTCGGAATGCTGAAGAAGAAGAAGAAGAAGAAGAAGAAGCTGATAAGTGTGCTATTCATACCAACTGACATTGTTTGCTGTATTTAGTCTAAAACATTTGGCTGTATTTGCACGCATCTTTTCCATCCCCTCCATTGGGCTTTGTAGTCACATTTGTCTGATGTATTTAGTACTTCCTGAGTCAGCTCGACTGCGCTCTCCAACTATTTATATCAAATTTTTATAAACCAATCGGCACGCGGTGAGGGGTGTCATCATCATCATCATCATGCTAGCCAGCTTTAGGACATTACATGGTATCCATTTTCAATTTGGCTCGAACAAGAAGCCTGGCTCAGTTACGAAAAATCCGCCTTGATGTGGATTCACACAAAAGACAGTGGATAACCATATGGTTCCCCACCCCCACACCCACCCCCTTGCTGCAACTCAGCAGCATCAGAGGATATGAATCGAGCTGCAGTATCGGTTGAAGATGGGAGGATCGACTTCAGTGCACTGTGTTTTATTCCATAGGGTCCAGTCTCTCTCTCTCACTCTCTCTCTCTTTCTCTTTCTCTCGCTTTTTCTCTCTCTCTCTCTTTTTTTCTCTCTCTCTCTCCCTCTCTCTGGATGGGTTAGCCGTCTACTGAAAGTGTCACACAAAGCAAGTACTCCTTAACTCTGGCAACGATCCCCAGTGGTCTCTGTAAAGATTGCACCAGTGAACCAAACTACATAGCCATGAAACAAACCCACAATCTTCCGAGGGCAGTGCAAACTTCTTGACCACTTCGCTGTGGAGACCCCCGAAGTATAAGTATACCTGCAAACATAGTGTGCTGTCAAGAGTGTCTATTTTCAGGAGTCAAGATTTGTGAGGGCGTGGCAGTTCAGAAAGTAGTGACAGACCAAGGCCGAGTGACGGTCGTGGAAACCTCCCACGGGAAAATCAAGTGTGAATATTTTGTCAATTGTGCTGGCCAGGTAAGGAAATGTTTATCTCTTTCTCAAAAGTGCATCTCACTGTATGTTTATTGGCTAGTTGTCCTAGTATCGGAGTTGTCACAGTATCAGAGTTGTCATAGTATCAGAGTTGTCATAGTATCAGAGTTGTCATAGTATCAGAGTTGTCATAGAGTTGGAGTTGTCACAGTATCGGAATTGTCACAGTGTTAGAGTTGTCACAGTATCGGAATTGTCATAGTATCAGAGTTGACATAGTATCGGAGTTGTCACAGTATCAGAGTTGTTGTAGTATCAGAATTGTCACAGTGTCAGAGTTGTCATAGTATCGGAGTTGTCAAAGTATCAGAATTGTCATAGAGTCCGAGTTGTCACAGTATCAGAATTGTCACAGTGTCAGAGTTGTCATAGTATTGGAATTGTCACAGTGTCAGAGTTGTCAAAGTATCGGAATTGTCACAGTGTCAGAGTTGTCATAGTATCGGAATTGTCACAGTATCAGAGTTGTCATAGTATCGGAATTATAGTATCGGAATTGTCACAGTATCAGAGTTGTCATAGTATCAGATTCGCAGAGTATGCTGTGGAGGGTGAAGTCAGGTTTTTTTCCAGTGTAATGGATCACATCAATCCCTGGGTCACAAGTGGTGAGAGTCCGGTGGATATTTTCCCTGCTATTCAGGCATGTAGAATAGGAGATGAAGTAATCACAGGCTTGTGCGGAAAGAGGTTAGTTGTGGGGTTTGTAAAGTCTGGTTATCAGGCCTGTAATAAGTCATTTTTTTCCTTGTTAATTAATGTTCACGTTTGAAATGAGGTTAGATACTAAACATCAATAATGTGCTTGAGTGTGGGTAATTGGAATCGAGTAATATGTGTGATGAATGAATAATTCAAGAGAAGCATGTAAATTGGCTGAAGCGTGCCAATGTAGAGAAAGCCTGAATTACATGCGTTAAATGTTCAATAACTTAAAATGATCTAGAAAAGTCAATCTTGTTTTCGATGCTAGAAAAGTGTGTTTGATGGTGACGAGTGAGAACGAATTGAATCTAACTGCGAGGGAGTGTCTGCTCAAGATTTGATTGCAAGTCCCACAGAAACCTGGCTGCCTGTTAGTCTGACATCTTGTCAAGGCTGACGTGTTTTTTTTTTTGCTGTTGATGTGATTAAGTGGAAATCTGATGTGTTGACGTTTGTGCGAGTGTGGTGATTCGTTATCTGTTAAAAGGTATGAATGCAGTTATTGATGATTTTTTGTGTGTGTGGTTGATGTTGGACGCCCTAGACAGTCTATCTTCATTACACTGGCATAGAACAGAGAATAAACACTTGTTGGCGACCAGCAACAGCTCTGTGATGTTTTCAACGTTGATTGTTTCATGCTCAAGTTGTTCAGGTAACTGTCACTGTACCTTCGAAGATTGCGATTGACGAGAGCCAAGAGAGTCATTGTAGACCACCGTCTCAGTAGGCACGTACACTGACTACTGTGCCACTGCACCATTATCCAGTTGAGTTGAGTTGAGAATTGACACAACAGCACATGGGGCATTCCCATGTGTGCTCCGTCCTCATCTTCAGCAGCCAGCGCAGAGTTCCAATACTGATGGTACCGGTCACAATCTAGTTTCATTATCCAGATAAATAAGTAACAAGTAACAGGCACACTAATGGCACATCAGACATACAAGGGGAATTCACATGAAAACCCTAAAAATGTGATATAAATTTTAGTAACCATACCATTGTTATGTAATATGTCAGCATTGTTGTTAAGTATGTCAAGAGTGTTAAGCATATGACATCATAGCGCAGATGAACAGGATGGTGACAAATTGACAGTTTAAAGATGGCCACCCCTCTTTTGACAAGCATCAAAGAGGAGCAACATTCTTTTATCCATTTTTTTTAAATATTAGTTACGGGTTGAAACCTATAGATCAGGCAAACCGAGTAGGGACCCCAGAGTCGATTGCGGCTGTTTTGAAACTCAGCAAGCATCGCTTCAGAGCTCCTGGGTAGTTAGTGTCCATTAGATATTTTGTCCAGGTATGGTGGAATGTTGGGAAATGATCAGGCAGATAGACTGGCCAGTTCTGCACCACTTGGTGGTGAATTGATGTGTGACAAGCTAGATGTTGTGAGGGTCTTTTGGGAGCAAGTGAACAGTGCTGAGGCACAGATAGATCATTACGGTCTCAGGAGAATGGCGCTGCGAGGAGTTAGTTACCAGGAGATCTGGCCGACGCTCAACACTCAAGGGAAAGGTGAGACGGATGTACAATCAAACAGTTACTAGTACCATCAAGATTATAACTCTTCGCTTGCTGCTGAAGATGGGGACGGAGCACAGTTTTATGACAGGAGACTCTTAAAATGCAGTAGAGATCCTGGGGTTGGGCCAGTTTGGCATTTCTGTGGAAACCAAGCAGTATGGAACCATGGAAAATATACATTTAACCACAGACTTCATGGTGTTCTCCTGCCTTATCATCCAAACATCACTGGCAGGGAGAAACAGAAGATGGAGATACAATGAGATACAATGTATTTTATTTCTTCACCACCAGTGGGCCAGGTCTGTCGGCAAGAAGACTGTTCCCAAAGCTGTGAAGGCTCCGTTACATTCCTGCGAACATTACTATCTCATCACCAAACCACAGGAAGGTGTTGATCCAATGATGCCAGGTAAGCTGTGACAGTCTCATATTGTGCCATGATTGTTCACTTCTTGTCATATGCCAGGTAAGCTGTTAGAAACTCCTGTTGTGCCGTGATTGTACACTTCCTGTCATATGCCAGGTAAGCTATGACAATCTCCTGTTTTGTCATAATTGTTCTTACACTGTACACTTCCTGTCATATGCCAGGTAAGCTATGACAATCTCCTGTTTTGTCATAATTGTTCTTACACTGTACACTTCCTGTCATATGCCAGGTAAGCTAAGACAGTCTCATGTTGTGCCATGATTGTTTATACTGTACACTTCCTGTCATTGCCAGCTAAGCTTTTGTGATCTTCAGTTATGCCATTTTTGTTTAAACTGATTGGATATTCTAAAATATGTCAGGTACGCCTCACAGTCTTTACTGGTTTTTTTTTTTTCGTTGTCCACACCACACATGCTTACGACTGGCGTGTTTGTACTGACAGTATGGGTATTCAGAGAGAACGTGTTAAGGAGGCCTTTGATGGGTTCATTTGTGCTCTCGATTCCCAACAGGAACATTGTACAAGGCTGGAAATGAAACCTTCAAAGTTTGACCACACCACTCTCTTGTAACCTGTCATTATTGTTGTTAAGGATGTCAAGAGTGTTAACAGATGAATCACGGTACAAACATGGTGACATCAAAATTGAAATTTTAAAGATGGCTGTCCCACTTTTGACATTCACCAAAGATGAGCAGCATTCTTTTGTCCATTTTGTGTGTGTTAATCAGTAAAATAGTGAATGAAGCCTATAGAAATTCATTGGTGAATGGAGGGCCAGTATGCCTGTCGTCCAGCATGTGTATGAGTGGAGTCATCACGTCGCAGGTCCCTTGCAGAACATCACTCTCATCACAGTCTGCTGAAAGAAACTCTGCCTCTTGCCAGCTGTCTCACCTCATGTACTTTCATATCTAGTGAGTTACTTGTATCCTGTGCCCGTCTTCATGTTGGGCAGCCCCTGCCCCTCCTTCCTGGTATCACGCCTTTTGCTATTTTTTTCTTGTCTGCTATGGTGCTTGATATGACAAGAATATTTCAACTTCCAAGACAAGATGCTGTTTATTAGCCAGTTTTCCTTGTTCTTCGGATCTTTTAAGATGTCATTATTTCTTCTCTTCTTTGTCCCTGTTATTCTGAGAATCTTTCTATAGCATTTCAGTTCAAAAGCCCCCATTTTCTTCCTTAAGGACTGGGAGACTTTCCACAACTCACATCCCTATGTCGCTACAGAGAAGATGCATGCTCTCAAAATTTTTAATTGAGTGGAGTAGGAAGTTTCAAAACAGTGTGACTTCCACGATAAACTGTTCGCAACCTGGTCAGGCACACTGAAAAATGACTTGCTTTGAGAAGGAGTCGAATGTTGGTCGTTCAAATCCGCACCTGTTTTTGTGTGCATGTTTCAGTGGTCCGAGATTATGATGGCCATGTTTATTTTCGGGAATGGAGTGGAGGGATTCTAGCCGGAGGATTCGAACCCAACCCCAAGGCTTGCTTTCACAAAGGCATCCCTGACAAGTTTGAGTTTCAGCTTCTGCCTTCAGACTGGGACCACTTTCGTAAGTACTGCTTGCTGTTCTGTGGAGATAGGTGAAGCTTGCTGTTCTGTGTAGATAGGTGAAGCTGTTACTAGTAGAAGTAAGATAGTTTGGGAAAATAACAAGGAGGAGAAAGTAGCAAGAGGAAGACATTGTTTCAAGTGGGTCGGCAACATCATAACATAGGCTGGAAAGGGCTTTTGTGAATACATCAGGACAGAATATGTTGGAGGCTCCTTATGACTGACATTAGCTGATGATGATGATGTCTTTGATTATGATAGTTTAGTGAATGTTTAATAGCCTTTCACTGGAACCCACAGGGAAAAAGAGATAGAGGTAGACCTAAACGTGCAGAGAAGAGAAGATGACAAACTATATGTGGTCACATGAGGTGCTCAAGGCCCTTGAGGAACAAGTGAACAAAGATCATCACAGAATGGAGAGAATGGGGCAGCGGGGAGTGACCAGGGGATCTGGCCAGCACTCAGAGGGAAGGAAGGTGGGATGGACATATAGTCAGACTAGAGAGCATGGTAGATCTGACCGTCACACAACACTCAGAGGAAAGGTGGGATGGACATATAGTCAGACTAGAGAGCATGGTAGATCTGACCGTCACACAACACTCAGAAGGAAGGTGGATGGACATATAGTCAGACTAGAGAGCATGGTAGATCTGACCGTCACACAACACTCAGAGGAAAGGTGGGATGGACATATAGTCAGACTAGAGAGCATGGTAGATCTGACCGTCACACAACACTCAGAGGAAAGGTGGGATGGACATATAGTCAGACTAGAGAGCATGGTAGATCTGACCGTCACACAACACTCAGAAGGAAGGTGGGATGGACATATAGTCAGACTAGAGAGCATGGTAGATCTGACCGTCACACAACACTCAGAAGGAAGGTGGGATGGACATATAGTCAGACTAGAGAGCATGGTAGATCTGACCGTCACACAACACTCAGAGGAAAGGTGGGATGGACATATAGTCAGACTAGAGAGCATGGTAGATCTGACCGTCACACAACACTCAGAAGGAAGGTGGGATGGACATATAGTCAGACTAGAGAGCATGGTAGATCTGACCGTCACACAACACTCAGAGGAAAGGTGGGATGGACATATAGTCAGACTAGAGAGCATGGTAGATCTGACCGTCACACAACACTCAGAGGAAAGGTGGGATGGACATATAGTCAGACTAGAGAGCATGGTAGATCTGACCGTCACACAACACTCAGAGGAAAGGTGGGATGGACATATAGTCAGACTAGAGAGCATGGTAGATCTGACCGTCACACAACACTCAGAGGAAAGGTGGGATGGACATATAGTCAGACTAGAGAGCATGGTAGATCTGACCGTCACACAACACTCAGAGGAAAGGTGGGATGGACATATAGTCAGACTAGAGAGCATGGTAGATCTGACCGTCACACAACACTCAGAGGAAAGGTGGGATGGACATATAGTCAGACTAGAGAGCATGGTAGATCTGACCGTCACACAACACTCAGAGGAAAGGTGGGATGGACATATAGTCAGACTAGAGAGCATGGTAGATCTGACCGTCACACAACACTCAGAGGAAAGGTGGGATGGACATATAGTCAGACTAGAGAGCATGGTAGATCTGACCGTCACACAACACTCAGAAGGAAGGTGGGATGGACATATAGTCAGACTAGAGAGCATGGTAGATCTGACCGTCACACAACACTCAGAGGAAAGGTGGGATGGACATATAGTCAGACTAGAGAGCATGGTAGATCTGACCGTCACACAACACTCAGAGGAAAGGTGGGATGGACATATAGTCAGACTAGAGAGCATGGTAGATCTGACCGTCACACAACACTCAGAAGGAAGGTGGGATGGACATATAGTCAGACTAGAGAGCATGGTAGATCTGACCGTCACACAACACTCAGAAGGAAGGTGGGATGGACATATAGTCAGACTAGAGAGCATGGTAGATCTGACCGTCACACAACACTCAGAGGAAAGGTGGGATGGACATATAGTCAGACTAGAGAGCATGGTAGATCTGACCGTCACACAACACTCAGAAGGAAGGTGGGATGGACATATAGTCAGACTAGAGAGCATGGTAGATCTGACCGTCACACAACACTCAGAGGAAAGGTGGGATGGACATATAGTCAGACTAGAGAGCATGGTAGATCTGACCGTCACACAACACTCAGAGGAAAGGTGGGATGGACATATAGTCAGACTAGAGAGCATGGTAGATCTGACCGTCACACAACACTCAGAGGAAAGGTGGGATGGACATATAGTCAGACTAGAGAGCATGGTAGATCTGACCGTCACACAACACTCAGAGGAAAGGTGGGATGGACATATAGTCAGACTAGAGAGCATGGTAGATCTGACCGTCACACAACACTCAGAGGAAAGGTGGGATGGACATATAGTCAGACTAGAGAGCATGGTAGATCTGACCGTCACACAACACTCAGAGGAAAGGTGGGATGGACATATAGTCAGACTAGAGAGCATGGTAGATCTGACCGTCACACAACACTCAGAGGAAAGGTGGGATGGACATATAGTCAGACTAGAGAGCATGGTAGATCTGACCGTCACACAACACTCAGAATACTCATTTTTGTGTTGCTAATTAGCCATTTTTGAGTTGCTAATTGTGTGTTGCTAATTGGCTATTTTTGTCTTAATACATCCAGTTATTGAGATATTAGTGTAGCCACTTTTTTATTGGTTGACCTAGCCGTGAGTGGGTACCAGGTACAGTCCTGGGAAGTAAAGGCGCCCGGCATGAAGCTGAACACATCACCCACTATGTGACATTTGGTCTGTAAAATGTAGGTCTAGCCCTATATGCCCAATACGCCTGAAGGCATGGAGAAGGGTCCTTTACTTTTTTAAACTGTTTTATTAATACACTGATGGTAAGCTTATATACTCACTCACTCACTCACTCACTCACTCTCTCTCTCTCTCTCTCTCTCTCTCTCTCTCTCTCTCTCTCTCTCTCTCTCTCTCTCTCTCTCTCTCTCTTACTTATTCACTCATTCACTCACTCGCTCTCACTCACTCACTCACTCACTCTCTCATACTCACTCACTCTCTCACTCACTCACTCATGCTCTCTCTCTCTCTCTCTCTCTCTCTCTCTCTCTCTCTCTCTAACTCACTCTCACTCTCTCTGTGTGTCTGTCTCCTACTCTCTGTCTCTCTCTTTCTTTCTTTCTCTCTCTGTCTCTCTCTCTCATAATTTGATAAACACTTTCTGTCCCAATTATAACTCTGAGGGTTGGATAGGATATTTTTGTGAAAGTTCTACTACTATGTTTTAAGAAAGTTCTACTACTATGTTTAAGAAACATCAGGAAAAGCAATACTTTACAATGATTTTTTAAAGAATAAACTATTTGGCTGGCTGCTGAAGATAGAGATAGAGTGCTTATGGGACTGTCCTGAGTGCTGTATGTCAGTTCTCAATGCAAGAACAACAATATAGATTGAATTAAATAATTTCTGTAGGAACCGCCTTGGTGTGTCAGCTAGATGCTCAAGTGCAGATCGGAATGTCGTGGGTTCAAATCCACATGGAGCCAGGTTTTTTCAGATGTGATCTTGGCTCCCAGGTCAACCTAGCCTTAAATTGTTGCCAGGTAAAGTCCTGGGAAGTCAACACGGATGGCGTGATGTGGACCTCAACTCTCATTGAGGGCCGATTCACAACTGACTCCAGCTGACTGGCTGTGCTACAGACGTCACTGGGTCGGGCTAACGATGCGTTAACACAGCGGTTCTCAAACTGGGTGCCAAGGCACCCGGGGGTGCCTTAAGCATTTGCCAGGTATGCCGAGGCAATAATCCAGAAAAGTTGGCTACAAATTGTGAAATTATGAAAGAAGGCATGTAGATACTCAAAAGTTAAAATGTAAGTTGTCTTCCCTTGCCACTGTCGAAGATAGTTTATTTCTTTTTGAGAACCGCTGCGTTAATGCATCGCTAGCCCGACCCGGTGACATCAGCAGCACGGCCCGCCAGATGGAGCCTGGCCCTAAATGCCCAATGGCCTGTAAAAGGAACTGAACTGACTTTTTACTTTACATCATTTCCATCATTTCTTTTTTTGGATAATTTGGTTATGTTATGAATTCTTACCAACGTTGTGCTGTCAGTGTCAGACATTGACACTGTCTTCAGAAGACAGAAGGAAAATAGTCACGTAAGAAAAGAAATGTCTACATACTGTGCCAGGTGTAATGAGGAAAGATCGACTTAGGATTGATGATATCAGGAGGAGAGTCAGCACAGAAGCAATACTGAACTTTATAGGTAGACAACAAATCAAATGGTTTGGCCATGTAACAATACTGGCAACAGACAGGGCATCACAGAGAGCAATGTTATACAGATACAGCGGTAACAGAACCAGAGGTCAACCATGCATAACGTGGACCACAGAAATATCAGAGACACTGAAAAGTACTTTAAACGAAGCGAACAGAAGGGCCCGTTCCAGAGACGACTTCCCGCCCTGGTGCATTCCAGGGGTAGGGAAAATAAGGAGTTCTCTTTGCTTAGAATCGTTTAATCTGTCAGAACAGCTGTCCAGAATGGAAAGTAATAAAACCAATCTTTTGTTTAAATGTGTGCAGAAGTCCTGTTAGATGGTATAGTTCACCGGATACCACTTCTGTCGTCTGCTGAAGTCCGCCAACTGATCAACGGCCCTGAGAGTTTTACCCCAGATTCCCAGTGGCTGCTGGGAAAATCCCCAAAGGTGAGTCTTGATATTGGGCGAGGCGTAGCTGGCTGGTTGTTGTGTTTACCTCAGACTGTGAAGTTAAGTTAGGATCTTAGGGGGGGGAGGGGGGAAGACAGGGTATATAGACATGAACCATTGGTGTCTGATAAATTGGTGAACATTAAATGGGATGAATTTAAGAATTCGTAAGTCAGTCAGCAGGTCTTCTTCAGAAGGTCGCTCTCTCCACAGCAGACCAGAAAGTCCCTATTTCGGTGCTTTATTAATATCCTACCCCAGATTACTTCACAGGACAGTTTAACATTTTAGAGGGTGGTAAGACTGGGTTTCCCAGTTTTCTGATGCTTTCAAAGACCCTAAAACATCTAGAACTGGCCCTAAACCCATTTTAACCCACCTACGTCCCACGAGAGAGGGCAGCCGAGGTCCCACGACTGCATGCAGCCTTTCTACCACCCCCTGAAATATAACATTGTCCCGTGACCTGTGGATTTCCCCCACTTGGGGTAGGATATTAATAAAGCACCCCCCTCTCTCTCTCTCTCTAGCTAACCGGTTCTCAGCCTGTGGGTTGTGACCTCTTTGGGGGTTATACGACCTTTTCACAGAGGTCACCTAAGACCATCAAAAACACGAATTCACTGATATTATGGAGTAGGAACAAAAATATTGTATGTTTGGGGGTCACCACATGAGGAACTGTATTAAAGGGTCATGGCATTAGTAAAGTTGAGAACCACTGCTGTGGCTAATTCTCCAGCCCTGTGTGCTTTCTTAGCCAATGCAGCTTCTGTGTCTTGTGTCCAGCGGTCTGCCTCGGATTCTTTCTCCAGAAACTTTCCCCTTCAGGCCACTATGACATTTAACATGGCCAGAATACCTGAGCTTTCGGCACAGGATGCTGTTGATGAGCCGGTTCTCCATACTCAGATCAATCGATGTCTGTTTTTCTTTGTCTTGGTCCGTCATATTCTAAGAACTTTTCTTTAGCATTTCACTTCAGAAGCTCTGATTTTCTTCTTTTTTCTAATATTGAGCAAGAGTCCATGATTGATGTATGGAGTCATTTTCTCCTCGGCAATTTGTGTTTGGATTGGTAATGTGGTTGGATACTAAACATAAATTATGTAATCAGGCTCGGATGAATTAAATTTATTATGAAGCCTGGTGAACGAGGAATGTGAGAGAAGAGGATGAAATGGCAAAAAGCATACTAAATGGAAGAGAGCAAGATTTGCATGCATTGTATGGTCGAAAAGTAGAAAAGTTTACTTGAGCCTGGAATGATCGAGAATGATCAGTCTTGTTTTCAGTCTTGTTCGAGTCGGTTTCGACTCAGGAACATTGGGAATGATGGAACGAATGCTGAATGAATCTTATCGTGGGTGGATGGTTGTACCCAAGTGGAATGTACGTTTCTATAAAAACCTGGCTATCCCGTTGAGCTGACTTCCTGTCAAACCTGGATATTGCTGTCAATGTGTCAGATGTCAGAGTGTCTACGTGGAATGTTTTAATGTTAAAGGTAACATGCTTTTGATGATTGTGATTGATGATGTATTAAATGGCCGAGCATGATTCCCTAGACTGCAATTACCTCTCTGTGTGCACTGGCCTACAAGTCAGCTGTTTGATTGAATAAACATTGAAAATGGATCACCTTTATGGCATTGGCCTCGTAGGTTTTTCAACCTGTTGATTTATATGTCAGTATACAGTGGAGAACATCAGGAGCCTCTTTTGGCAGTGGTGAAACAATGCAAGCGAGCTTGGTTTGGGCACTTGGTGAGACATGACTCAGTTGCAAAGACTGTACTTCAAGGAACATTTGGGGGGGGGGGGGGGGTGGGGGGTAGTCGAAGAAGAGGAGGGCAAAGAAGAATTTCGAACGACATCAAGAAATGGGCAGGACTATCATACACTTATTCATCAAGCAGGAGACAGAGAAAGATGGCGGGTTTTATGTGCTAGTGCTTCCATCAATACACCTCCACGACCCTAATGGGTCAAGGTTTATGTTAAGTTTTGTTGTACAGTTGAGAAGACTGCAAAAATGATAGAGCCAGAAGAAGATTGGAATTGACATCCATAAGTTGCCATGGGAGATAACTTGATCTCAAAATGTTTACTTTAACTGGTTTGCAGGTAGCATTTAAGAAAGGTGTATAAATAAACGAAATCTCTGGACAACTGCTGGTGTCATCTGTTGTATGAAAAAGTAGATAGAGAGTTGAGTTGAGTCCAGAATTGACATCACAGTACTCGGGGCACTACTCCCATGCATGCTCCGTCCTCATCTTCAGCAGCCAGCGCAGAGTTCCGATACTGATGATACCCGTCACAATCTGGTGATATGTCCGTCTTGCCTTTCCTCTGAGTGTAGTGAACCAGTGGTGCAGATTTAGCCAATCTGTCTTCCTATTCATTACCCACCACGCCGGCATAGCCTGGAGAAAAGATCCAAAGTATGCTCACTACCCATGACCTTTCCAGTAAAGCTTGCCACTCTGCTCGTAGCATCCCTGCCTTTAGAGTCTGTTACAGTTGCGACATGTGTATGCATCTTGTTCTCTAGCCACGGGAAAGCTGCAGTTACCGCCTCCACCTCCATTCTCATGCTAGATGTTGTGGTGTCATATGTCGGGCTGTCTTGTACTTAAGAAGATGGAGATATATTGCACGCCTCCTGAAAAGAAGCATAGAGAATTTCTAAACAGACACTTAGATAGGAAACATATATTTAGGAAATGAGGACGTCTAAAAGAAACCCTAAGACAAGGCAACGCATGGACCAAATCAGGCTGGCCGAGGCAAAGCAAATGGCCCACGAATCACTTACTAATTGAATTGTATTAATGATTTTTCTGTGCTGGAGCTTAGGCTTCTGGAATCATTTTCTAACATTTTGGCCTTGGAGTAAAATTAGTTGAATGGCCCTGGTGTAAGAGAAGCCAGAGTGCTGAACTGGATTTCATCCATTGTATTAAAACAATATTCTCTCCAGTGTGCTTCTCTGCTTGAAGCTGTTGTCCCAGAATGGTATGTCTGCTTATGTGTGCTGCACAAGACCGTTCTGGATGGCGTACATCCCTCAGGCATGGTGCATCCCTCAGGCATGGTACATCCCTCAGGCATGGTACATCCCTCAGGCATGGTACATCCCTCAGGCATGGTACATCCCTCAGGCATGGTACATCCCTCAGGCATGGTACATCCCTCAGGCATGGTACATCCCTCAGGCATGGTACATCCCTCAGGCATGGTACATCCCTCAGGCATGGTACATCCCTCAGGCATGGTACATCCCTCAGGCATGGTACATCCCTCAGGCATGGTACATCCCTCAGGCATGGTACATCCCTCAGGCATGGTACATCCCTCAGGCATGGTGCATCCCTCAGGCATGGTACATCCCTCAGGCATGGTACATCCCTCAGGCATGGTACATCCCTCAGGCATGGTGCATTGGCCTGCCAGGCAGTGGAGGTTGCACAGGCAGAGAAACAGAGGCAGACTAGAAAGAATCGTACTGCTAATCCCACACTTACTGCGGCTTCCATCTGTTGTCCGCACTGCTCAAGAACTTTCCGGGCTAATATTGGACTAATCAGCCACCTTTGTACTCATAATCATTAATCATTACTACTTTGGATGAAAGTGGTCTTTATCGCTCGTGATGGACGAACAGCAACATATTTTCCTAACCTGTTATACTTTTTATAAGCTTTTATTAGATAATTATGTCATCTCACTCGGATTGTTTACCTGTCGTGTTTGTTTCAGGTAGAGAACTATTTCATTGCAGCAGGAATGAATTCTGCAGGCATTGTTGGAGCTGGCGGAGTAGGCAAATACTTGGCAGAATGGATTGTTGAAGGGGACACGAGTTTAAACCTCTGGGCATATGATGTTAGGAGATTTGTTCGTCTGCATAATAACAAAAAGTTTCTCAGGGATCGTATGACAGAGGCTTTTGGTAATATTTCTTTTTTTTTTTCCTTTTCTCTCACAGAATACTTCTGCTTCTTGCTTGCTGTTATTGATGTTCTTGTTGCTACTGTTAATGTATTTTGTTACTGTTATCAATGTTATTGTTGCTGTTATTGATGTTCTTGCTGCTACTGTTAATGTATTTTGTTACTGTTATCAATGTTATTGTTGCTGTTATTGATGTTCTTGTTGCTACTGTTAATGTATTTTGTTACTGTTATCAATGTTATTGTTGCTGTTATTGATGTTCTTGCTGCTACTGTTATTGATGTTCTTGCTGCTACTGTTAATGTATTTTGTTACTGTTATCAATGTTATTGTTGCTGTTATTGATGTTCTTGTTGCTACTGTTAATGTATTTTGTTACTGTTATCAATGTTATTGTTGCTGTTATTGATGTTCTTGCTACTGTTATTGATGTTCTCATTACTATTACTGATGATGTTGTTACCATTATTCTTGTTACAGTTATCAATGTTCAGTGTTCCTCAGTGTCCTTGTGGTGTCCATTGCATTGCCTGTTTTGGTCATCTCTCTGTCTTCATTCTGAGGACGTGTCCAGTCCACCTCCATCTTGGTTTTTGTATTTTTTTTTTAGATGGAGAAGACAGTTTCAGGAAAATAAGTCAGAAACAGACCTGGATGCAAGACTTCTTGTGTGGATTCCAGGGTCCCATTGTGTGGAAAACAAGAATAGACTCAGTGCTTGCCCAACAGGCTTGTCGTAGGAGTCGGCTTATTAGGGATTTCCTTCAAAGTCGGAGTACATCTGCCCTGTTGGTTCCTTGCCTCAGTGACTTCGAAGGAAACACCCCTAATTAGTTGCCTCCTATGACATGCTTGGGGGAGGGGGAGTGGTTTTATTCTTTGTTCTCCAAAATAGAGGCCAGAAAACCCATGGGGTGCCAGTAAGTGAAGTTGACACTTTCCCAGTGACTGATCCTCAGTAATGATAAGTGCCTGGGTATGTTGTGAGGGTCGGTTCTCGCACACATTGACTTGGCATCCTAAAGACTCGACAGGAAGATGGGTACAGGACATTAATGATACATTGTTGATGAAAGCACATAGGGCTAGAAATAGACATTCAGGTGTGCCAAGATGAGAGCGACATTCTGTAAAGAACCTGTCGATCTATGATTTATTTGCAAACATAAAAGTCATGCCCAGTTAGAATTGATTGACAAGTATTATTTCCTTGCAGCCAACCACTATCTGTTGAAATATCCAAGAGAAGAGTACAAGACTGGCAGGAAACTGAGGTGCTCTCCCTTACACACTCGGTTGGAGGTCGCTGGTGCTGTGTTTGGTGAAACTATGGCATACGAAAGGGCCATGTATTTCCAGATTGAAGGTTAGCTATATTTAGTCATCAAATGTTTCCATAGATTTCTCACTTGTAGTCAGCTGACAGTTGTATTTTTTGACTAGTCAAAAGTAGCCATAAAAAAAAAAAAGGGTTAACCCTTTTACCTTAAGGTTGCTATCTACCGGCATAACCGTCGTTACAAATCACAGACAAGCCAACTCAATAGCATGCACCATGTTTAAGGGTGCTCTATATGATTATATTTGCTTAAAATATTTAGGATGGTTTTATTATTATGAAAAAAAAGGCTTTCTTTTAAAAAGTCATTAACAATAGTTCACCTTCCATCGTTCCACTTATCACTTATTGATGGGGTCACTGTATAATTATTTGTTAAGCTAAGGAAATGTATTTATTGAATTATCAGCTCCATTTGTACCTTGATGAAGATGTGAGTCCTAAACTATTACATCTTCTTTTTCTTCTTCTTCTTTTTCTGCATTTTATCCCCCAATTGATCATAGACCCCCAGTCAGCTCACGCCAGGTTGTTCTATCTTTGCTGTTGCATGCAGCTCACCCCTTGACCTACCCATCTTTGTAACTTTACTCTCTCTCTCCCTGCTGCATGTATTTTTTTTGGGGTCTACCTTTATTTATATGCCTCTGTGGATTTTAATGCAAAGACATTCAAGTTATATTGTCCTCAGGTCTCTCAATGTGTGTCTTATCCAACGCCAGCATCTTTTCTTCAGATTTGGTCCACGGGAACTTATTTAGTTCTCTCCCAAAGCTCTACATTAGTGATTCTACCAAACCATTTAATTCCCCCTATTCAGCAAGGGTACCAGTTAGTGAATGTTTGTAGTATATTAGCAGGTGTTTTAGTTGTTCTCCATGTTTCTGCTCCAAACAACAACAGTAGTGATTTGACATTAGAGTAAAAAAATTTAAAGTTTAATGTTATTTTAAATTTCGTTTAACCTCCATAAATTTCCTAGTCCTTATACATCTACTGTCAGTTTTTTTTTTTTTTTTTTTTTTTTTTTTTTTTTAATTAAACATGGTTCTTGCAAGCCATAATGTCAGACTGACCAGACACTTGGTCACTTGGTCTTTTCTATAGCTCTCCTCTCTTCTAACTTTCCCATTATCACGACATACTTCAGTTTTCCTTTCTCATGTTGTGCCCAAAGAATTTGGATGTATCTTTTTCTGATGCTGGCCGTTAGTTCTCTTTATTCTGTTGACTGTTTCTGGTGTCTTTAATATTCTTCTTTAACTGCTTCAGTACCGAACAACATGCAAACCCTCAGGCTCATGACGCCCCTGTCTGCACCGCCTTAAAAAGCAGTAAATAGACAGTAGTGACAGTTGTAGAAGTAATGAAGAGAAACGGATCACTGGTTTGATAAAACAAAAGTCATTTCTTCCAGAAACCTCATTCGGGAAAGAGACTGGTGCCATGTGGTCGTGGTCGAAGCCATGCTGGTTCGAGGCAGTGCAAGAGGAGTACTGGGCCTGTAAAGAAAGGGTTTGTCTCATGGATATGTCCTCGTTTTCCAAGATAGAAGTCCGGGTAAGCTGTTTGATTGATGATCTTCTTCTCCAAGATCAAATTTAGTTTTAAACTATCTAGTTTATCCTGTTTTTTTTCCAAGATAAAAGTGTGTTTAAACTGTCTATGAATCATTTTGGTAAGATAGAATTCAGTTTATACTGTCTAGTTTATGATATAATTTTCTAAGATAGAATTCAGTTTATACTGTCTAGTTTATGAAATCATTTTTTCAAGATAACATTCACTGTAAGCTGTCCAGTTTATAAACAATTTTTCTAAAACCATAAGTAATTTCAAACTGTCAGGTTAATTATATCATTTTCCTAAGTTAAAATTCAGTTTAAACTGTCTAGTTTATGAAATCATATTTTCCAGAAAAAATTCAGTTTATACATCTAGTTTATGATTTCCTTGTCCAAGATGGAAGTCAGTATAAACTGTCTAATTTATATCATTTTTCCAAGATAGACATCAGTTTGAGTTGTGTCTAATTTATGATTTAAATTTCCAGACATAAGACAAGTTTATTTTGTTTAAAAAATTTTTCCACAATAGTAAATAATTTAAACTGTCTAGAGGTCTCCATCTTTCTGATGGACAACTTGTATTTCTCAATGACTTTGATAGCCATACCAACACCAGCAGATTTTTTTAAAGCCAGACATGTTAAAAGGTAGAGAACAGACAAAGAGAGACACTGCAGTTCTTCAGGTTAGAGGGTTGAAATGTGGTGCCGACTTCCTCCCTTTTTTTGTCATGAAACATATCCAAACGCTTGGAGTCAGCAACTGAAAGGATATGGCAGTCATAGAGATGAATAGGGGCCCTTGATATCTGCAATCTTTAATCTTTTCCGCAAAGGTTGACTGCCATGAATCTCCAACACGCTGTCTTCTGTCTTGGTTGTACACTCTCTGTCTTCTGTCTTGGTTGTACACTCTCTCTGACTGCTGTTTGTCCAACTCTTGATGTTGTCTTCCCACTCGTATCAGAGTAATGAACAGGCCCACAGATTGGCTGCAATGAATCTCCAACACTCTCTGTCTTCTGTCTTGGTTGAACACTCTCTCCGACTGCTGTTTGTCCAACTCTTGTTGTTGTCCTCCCACTCGTATTAGAATGATCAGAGTAATGAACAGGCAGACAGATTGGCTGGATCTGCTCCACTGGGTGGTGAATTGATACCTGACAAGGCAGATGTGGTCAAGGCCCTTTGGGAACAAACAATGGAATCAGTAGAAAAACAAGATTATTATAGCCTGGAAAGAATGAGGCACCTGGGTGCAACCAGAGGGTCTGGCCGGCTCACTACTCAGAGGAAAGGCAATGCGGACTTTTAACCAGATTGTGACCGGTACCATCAATATTGGGACTCTGCGCTGGCTGCTGAAGATTAGGACAGAGCACCCCGAGTGCTGTGATTTTAGTTCCTGACTCAACTTAACTCTTATCGGAGTGGCTTGCATCACTTGATGGGACCCAGATCAAGAGCGAATCATGGATTTCTTTTTCCAGGATATTCAGTAACGAGCAGGCTGATAGATTGGCTGATGTTGCTGCTCAGGGCGGTGAGCTACTATATGATAAAGCTAAAGTGGTGAAGGTTATCTCGGATCAAATGGACAGTGCAGTAGATCAGACAGAGAATACATACATTGAAAGCCTTATTCATTGGGGCCTGGGTAGAGGTTCTGGGAGATATTCAGCAGTGAAGTAGAAACGGGGCAGACTTTTAATCAGATTGCAGCTGGTCAACTTTTTGTTGGTTGCTGAAGAAGGGGACGGAGCACATGTGGGAATGTCCTGAGTGCAGTGATGTTAGTTCTAGATTCATTCATTCATTAGTATCATTGTCTACCTCTTGCTCTTTTGCCTTTGACCTTTCCCTCCAGTCTTTTCTTCCCCAGTAATTTGTAGTAATGAACCTCAAGGGGTTGGATTTTTAAGAAGAAGTTGAACATATCATTTTCCATTACAGTAATATTGATAATGATGTTACTACTGATGGTAATGATGATGATGGTGGTGGTGACAGCTATTGTTCAATTCTTCCCTTTGTTCTGATAATTATTTATTGTATGGTGTCCTCTGACAGTCACGTGGAGACGAAGCTACTGCGTACCTTCAGTACCTGTGCTCCAACAACATTGATCATGAAATCGGCACCATTGTCCATACAGGCATGCAGAACCGTCATGGAGGATTTGAGAATGACTGCACAGTGGCTCGGCTCGATACAAACCAGTGAGTCTTGATTTTTTTTTTTTTATGTTCGGCCAGACAACAAGTGAGTCTGGTTTTTTTTTTTTAAAGTTTTCTTTCAATGGCTATTCTTCTTTAAAGTTGAGAAAAGGGAAAACAGGCATGCTTCGTGCAGAGTGGCAAGCATCACTTCATAGGTGTTGCAGAGAATACTTGCAGAGTAGTAAGGATCCATTGGATATTTTCTCCAGGTCATGCCGGTATGTTGGGAAATAAGCAGGCAGATAGACAGATAGGCAGATTGAAGAAATCATCAACACTAAGAAATTAGAGGAAGAGAATATCAAACATGAATTTGAACTAGAAATAACAAAGGCTTTTGCAGATATTGCCAAGGAACCAGTAAGAATTGAAGAAGAATGGGATTATTATAAATCAACCATCACGAAGATATTAAAAGACAAGTGTGGTACCAGAAAGACGGGCAAAGGCAAGAAAAGGGGTACCGCTTGGTGGAATGAAGAAGTCAAAGAAGCAGTGTCAAATAAAAAGAAGATGTTTCAAATATGGTTAAAAACAAAAGACGAAAAGGATTACATTAGGTACAGACTAACTCGAAGAGACACCAAGAGAACAATAAAGAAATCCAAAGAGGACTCATGGAAAAAGTATGGTGAACACCTAACACAGCTATGTACAGAATCATCAAGAGACTTTTATAAGAGTGTGAAAGCGATGCGATTAAGAGAAGAAAGCTTCAATCCAACATCAGTCATAAACGATAAAAATGGAAAACCATTATTCAGCCAAAAAGAAATTTAAAAAAGATGGGAGGAATATTTTAAAGAACTTTTGAACCCGTCGGGAGTACATGAAACAGCAGAATTCCATTCAAGGGCTCCAGATCATCTAGAACCACATATCCTGCAGGATGAGGTGGAGAAAGTTATCAAAACAAGTAAAAGACACAAAGCAGCTGGTATCGACGGAATAACAACAGAAGTCATCCAGGCCGGAGGGGACACTATGATCACCTGGCTGGAGAGAATTTTCAATAGAGCATGGGCAGAGAGAAAGGTACCAGTGGATTGGCAAAGATCAGTTGTAGTACCTATCTGGAAGAAAAAAGGAAACAAGAGAGAATGTGGAACTTATAGAGGAATATCTTTACTAAGTCATGTGGGGAAAATGTATGCAAAGATCTTAGAAGGTAAGATAAGAGCAAAGGTTGAACCTCTACTGAGTAAAGCACAATTCGGTTTCAGGAAAGGGCGAGGTTGCACTGATGCCATATTTGCACTAAGACAAGTCTGTGAAAAGACACTCGAATACGATAAAGAGCTGAACGTGGTCTTTGTAGATCAAGAGAAGGCATTCGACCGTGTGGACAGAGATGTGCTGTGGAGAATTCTTGACGATTACGGAGTGCAGGGTCAATTATTAGACAACATCAGAGCCCTCTATGAAAAAAGTGAAAGTGCAGTAAGAACATCTAGTGGTCTTTCTGAATGGTTCAAAGTCACAACTGGTGTCAGACAAGGATGTGTACTGTCACCATTACTTTTCATAACATACATGGATAAGATCACTGTAGAAGCAAACCCAGACGTGTATGCTATAAACGAATTACTTTTTGCTGATGATCAAAGCATACTGTATCAAAATGAATATGATCTACAGGAACATCTGACTACTCTCAACAACAGCTGTTTACAACATAATATGAAAATCAGTACAGAAAAAACAGAAGTTATGAAGATCAGCAGAACACACAGGCCACTGAATATAAATGTTGGAAGTGCCAAAATCAAGCAAACCAAAGAGTTCAAATACTTGGGCAGTATATTTACAGAGGATGGAAGAATGGACAGAGAGATAGAAACAAGAATACAGAAAGCAAATGCTGTCACATACCAACTATCACCTCTGCTTAAACATCCAGATATAACCATGAAGACCAAAAGACAATTGATAAACACCATCTTCATTCCAACACTCTGCTACCAGTGCCAGACATGGACAATCAACAAGACCCATGAAAGAAAAATAGAAGCCTGTGAAATGAAATGTCTAAGAAAAGCAGCGAATAAGACCAGACTAGACAGGATAAAGAACATAGACATTAGAAACACTGTCAAAACTACACCATGTTTAGACTACATAGAACATCAAAGAATGAAATGGTTTGGACATCTAACCAGGATGAAAAATGACCAAATAACATCACAAATTTTCAACCAAAGAAGCTCAGGATACAAGGCAAGAGGAAGACCAAGGAAACTGTGGATTGACGGGGTCTCTGAAACCTGCCAAAAGCATGGCCTCAGAACATCAGATGCTGCCCGCCTTGCTTATGACAGGAACTTGCATCTCCCCACAACGCTTAGCGGCATACGTGGAAGGAAAAAGTAAAAGTAAGTATAGACTGGCTGGTTCTGCACCACTTGGTGGTAAATTGATGTATGACATTTTAAATAATGTGAGGGCCCTTTCGCAGCAAGTGAACAGTGCAGAGGCACAGATAGATCATTAAGGTCTAAGTAAAATGGTGCTGCAAGGAGTTACCAGGGGATCTGGCAGACGCTGAACACTCAGGGAAAGGATGAGACTGATATACAATCAGACGGTTACTGGTGACATCCGAATTGGAACTCTTCGCTTGCTGCAGAAGATGGGCTACTGAGCACTTATGGGAGTGTCCCGAGTGCTGTGATATTAATTCTTAATTCAACATTCGGCGCTGCTGCGATAAAATTTAAGGGCACCAGGATTTTCTGGTGGGGGGAGGGGGTGCAGCTGGAAAGCATTGAATGTAAATAAAACAGTTGTAGAGAGAGAGAAAGAGAGAGAGAAAAAGACCATTTTGATAAAGTGTTTGTACCTTCATCAGTTAGTGTAAATGATTCAACTCATAGTGATTGCTTAATTTTCAAAAGAAATACTGTTATAACTAATCAGACTCAACCTTCTTAGTGAATGTTTTGTGCTTTAGTTTTGTTTTAACATTCCTCTACTTCTGAACTGAATGGAGGGATGGCCTGAGCTGAAACTTCTGCAAGCAACAGTTACTTGCGACTTTTGAATAAGAGACTTTCTGATTATTTTACTGATATTTGCAATTTCTTTTGTTGATTTGCTGAGTTTAAATGAGGCTATTTTTCTGATATTTGCACATTTCTCTCGTTGATTTGTTGAGTTTGGATGGGGGAATTTTACTGATATTTGCACATTTCTCTCGTTGATTTGTTGAGTTTGGATGGGGGAATTTTACTGATATTTGCATATTTCTCTCGTTGATTTGTTGGGTTTGGAGGAGGTTATTTTACTGATATTTGCACATTTCTCTCGTTGATTGGCTGGGTTTGGATGGGGAATTTTACTGATATTTGCATATTTCTCTCACTGATTTGCTGGGTTAAGAGGAGTTATTTTACTGATATTTGCACATTTTTATCTTGTTCTACTGGGTTTAAATGAGTTTGTTTTACTGATATTCATTCATTTCATGATTTGCTGGGTTTGGATGAGTTATTTTACTGATATTTACATATTTTTCTTGTTTGATGAGGTTACTTTATTGATATTTGAACATTTTTATCTTGTTTTACTGGGTTTAAATGAGTTTTTTTTTTTAACTAATATTCATTCATTTCATGATGTTCTGGGTTCAGATGAGTTATTTTATAGATATTTGCACATTTCTCTTGTATGATGAGGTTACTTTACAGATATTTGCACATTTCTCCCTCAGTTATTACATTATCTGCCCGGCCACCCAGCAGACGCGAGCGATAGCCTGGATGAACAAACACCTGCCGGCCGACGGGTCAGTCCAGGTCACGGATGTCACATCCATGTTTTCTGGTATCAACTTGATCGGACCTCATGCCCAGCAGTTACTAGCCGACGTCTCTGACTTTCCCACCAACAAATCGGCTTTTCGGCCGATGACGGTGCACATCATTGATGTCGGTCATGCTAGTAGCATCCGGGCCATGAGGCTGACCCACACTGGAGAGGATGGGTTTATTTTGTACATACCTTCAGAGGTCAGTATTTGTTTTGCCATCATTTTTGTAGTTTATTGAAAGCTGTTACAATATGTGAGATAAGATTTATAAGAAAGCGGTGGAAAAAACAAGAAGAGACAAGCGTCACCAATAAAGAACTAAGAAAAGTCAGGGAAAACAAGAGTCACCAATAAAGAACTAAGAAAAGACAGGAAAACTAAGAGTCACCAATAAGGAACTAAGAAAAAACAAGAAGACAAGAGTCACCAATAAAGAACTAAGAAAATAAACAAAAAGACAAGAGTCACCAATAAAGAACTAAGAAAAGACAGGAAAAACAAGAGTCACCAATAAAGAACTAAGAAAAGACAGGAAAAACAAGAAGACAAGAGTCACCAATAAAGAACTAAGAAAAGACAGGAAAAACAAGAGTCACCAATAAAGAACTAAGAAAAGACAGGAAAAACAAGAGTCACCAATAAAGAACTAAGAAAAAACAAGAAGACAAGAGTCACCAATAAAGAACTAAGAAAAAAACAAAAAGACAAGAGTCACCAATAAAGAACTAAGAAAAGACAGGAAAAACAAGAAGACAAGAGTCACCAATAAAGAACTAAGAAAAGATAGAAAAAACATGAAGACAAGAGTCACCAATAAAGAGCTAAGAAAAAAACAAAAAGACAAGAGTCACCAATAAAGAACTAAGAAAAGACAGGAAAAACAAGAGTCACAAATAAAGAACTAAGAAAAGACAGGAAAAACAAGAGTCACCAATAAAGAACTAAGAAAAGACAGGAAAAACAAGAGTCACCAATAAAGAACTAAGAAAAGATAGAAAAAACATGAAGACAAGAGTCACCAATAAAGAGCTAAGAAAAAAACAAAAAGACAAGAGTCACCAATAAAGAACTAAGAAAAGACAGGAAAAACAAGAGTCACAAATAAAGAACTAAGAAAAGACAGGAAAAACAAGAGTCACCAATAAAGAACTAAGAAAAGACAGGAAAAACAAGAGTCACCAATAAAGAACTAAGAAAAGACAGGAAAAACAAGAGTCACCAATAAAGAACTAAGAAAAGACAGAAGACAAGAGTCACCATTAAAGAACTAAGAAAAAACAAGAAGACAAAAGTCACCAATAAAGAACTAAGAAAAGACATTAAAAACAAGAGTCACCAATAAAGAACTAAGAAAAGACAGGAAAAACAAGAGTCACCAATAAAGAACTAAGAAAAGACAGGAAAAACAAGAGTCACCAATAAAGAACTGAGGAAAAACAAGAAGACAAGAGTCACCAATAAAGAACTAAGAAAAAAACAAAAAGACAAGAGTCACCAATAAAGAACTAAGAAAAGACAGGAAAAACAAGAGTCACCAATAAAGAACTAAGAAAAGACAGAAAAAAACAAGACAAGAGTCACCAATAAAGAACTAAGAAAAGACAGGAAAAATAAGAAAAGAGTCACCAATAAAGAACTAAGAAAAACAAAAACAAAAAAACAAGAAGAGACAAGAATCACCAATAAAGAACTAAGAAAAGACAAGAGTCACCAGTAAAGAACTAAGAAAAACAAAAAAACAAGAAGAGCCAAGAGTCACCAATAAAGAACTAAGAAAAGACAAGAAGACAAGAGTCACTAATAAAGAACTAAGAAAAAACAGGAAAAACGAGTCACCAATAAAGAACTAAGAAAAGACAAGAAACTACATCTAACTCCTTTCTGTGAATCTTTACGGCGTAAGCCCTAGGACAAAAGAATGTTGAATTAAGAATCGATATCACAGCACTCGGGATACCCCCATAAACGCTTCATCCCCATCTTCAGCAGCAAGCGAAGAGTTAAAATTCCGATGGTACCAGTAACTGTCTGATTGTATATCTGACTCGCCTTTTCCCTGAGTGTTGTGTGTCAGTCAGATTCCCTTTAACTCCTCACAGCGCCATTCTCCTCAGACAGTAATGATCTAGCTGTGCCTCGGCACTGTTCACTCGCATTCAAAGGGCTTTCACAACATCCAGCTTGTCATAAATCAGGTCACCACTAAGTGGTGCAGAACCGGCCAATCTATCTGCCTGCTCATTTCCCAACACACCGGCATAACCTGGAGAAAATAGAGGCCAAAATAAGAATTGGTTTCACGAATCTTGTCTGTTTTATATATGATTAAACAAAAGACAATGTATTGATCGGCACTCATAGAAAGAAGTGAAAAGATAGGACATATTAGAGAACATCAAAATTAAAAGCTATAGTTACCATGCCGGGAATCAAGCCTTTCACCTCTAAATGGCATTGCGCCTCGCTATGGAAACAAGTGTACTAAGAATATGATCAACTAGGCACTCCTAAAAAAAGGTGTCTTCATTGGTCATGTCTATCGTAGAGCTTGAAATCCACAACTGTGGAATACAGACAGAATTAATCTGAAACCATTGAAATGGCATCATAGGTTACAGAAATTTATATTGACGCACAGGTCAAACAACAAACACATCAATAATTTACAAACACTCAGACAGTAATGCTTTGTCTAGAATGCACAAACATCTAAGAAAGAGATTTGATAATCTGTTGTGTTACACGACATTCATATAAATAAACAGAGAGGGGACCACTGAGGCCGTAGAAATATTATATATATAGTAAACAAACAGACAGTCTTCTTCGCGTTCACCAGCTGTAAATTCTGGCAGAAAGTTCTGGTTGTTCATTCACTTCTGGACTGCAGTCGTGTTCCAGAACCTGAGTGTTGTGTGTGCATTCGTTTTACAGATCCGACTCATTCTTATGCAGACTGCTGGTTCCTTGACTCTCAGGCAGATGTAATCTTCACACTTTTGGGTAGACAGTGGGTCTGTTCTTGTTTTCCCCACAATAAGGCCCCGGAACTTACACGGGGGCAAACAGACAGTATATTGATTGGCAATTATAGAAAGAAGTAGAAAGATAGAAGAACACACTAGACAACATATAACTCAAAAACATTAGTTACTGTGCCAGGAATTGAACCTGTCACCTCCAAATGGCATGTGCCTCACTATGGAAACAAGTATTTGTTTTGTAGTAATCTTGATTTTGTTTCTGTGGCTCAGAAGTTAGTGAACTCATTTAACAGTTTCATGATCCTTGAAAACTAGAGTTCCATTTCAGTCGTGGACAGTTTAATAATTTAAAAAAAAAACATTGTCTCTTGATTTAAAGAATGGTGTGAAGGTTGAACAGATTGGGGCCTCAGCATGTAATATTCCCAGACAACAGTGGGTATACTTCGTTGTGGAGGTGGCAAAAAATATCATATATATCGTATATATATATATTTATATATATATATATATATATATATATATATATATATATATATATATATATATATATATATATATATATATATATATATATATATATATATATATATATATTTATATTTCTCCACTGACAAGTTATAAACATAATTTCACAGTTCTGATATACCAGCAATGGTGACACAATGAAAGAAATTAAACGGCGACTATCAATTGCTCTTCAAAGACTAACAACTGAATAAATTATGGAATTGTACAGATAGAATTACAAAGGTCAGATTTTTAAGAGCATGCATCTTTCCCCATTGCAACATACGCCTGTGAGACCTGGACACTTACTAAACAAGCGGAACAGCGCATAAATGCATTTGAATATAAATGTTACAGACAGGTTCTAAGAATATCTTGGGTAAAGAAAAGAACAAATGCATCCATACTTCAAAAGCTGAATATTGAAGAGGGTTGGCTAGTAAAGACAATAAAACAAAGAAAATTGAAATATTTTGGTCACTTGAAACGTCATGGAAGTCTAGAGAGAACAATAATGGAGGGGTATATGCCTGGGAAGAGAGGAAGAGGAAGGCCAAGGAGAAGATGGGTGCAGGATGTGGCAGATGATCTCCAGATGGGTGTATCAGACGCAGGACATCTTGCTCAGGATAGGAAGGTTTTCCGGAGGGTTGTTATGGCAGCGAGGTTCCGCGAGGGACATGCTACTGAATGAATGAATGAATGATATACCAGGGTTTGAAGTCAGCTGCAGACAGTTAGTTAGCAGGGTGCTTTGCTTTGGATTTGATGATGCTAGGTTGCAGATGATGCTAGGTTGCAGATGATGCTAGGTTGCAGATGATGCTAGGTTGCAGATGATGCTAGGTTGCAGATGATGCTAGATTGCAGATGATGCTAGGTTGCAGATGATGCTAGATTGCAGATGATGCTAGGTTGCAGATGTTTGATGCTGGGTTGCAGATGTTTGATGCTGGGTTGCAGATGTTTGATGCTGGGTTGCAGATGATGCTAGGTTGCAGATGATGCTGGGTTGCAGATGTTTGATGCTGGGTTGCAGATGATGCTAGGTTGCAGATGTTGCTAGATTGCAGATATGAACCCCACCCCCTATTTTTTTTAAGGTTTCCCCTTCAGGATTGCAGTCTGTAGAATTAACAGTGTGCAGACTGTTGGTTCCTTACCTGCCGGGCAGATGCACTGTGACTTCAAAGCAAACACCCTAATTAGTCACCTTTTATGACATGATTATTGGGTGTAGTGGCTCTGCCCTCCACCACCCCACCTCACCCCACACCCCACCCCACCCCAACCCAACCCAAAATGGGGCTCTGGAACCCACAGGGGTAACCTAACATTCATGATTAACTCTTTTAGTCGCAGATGATTTCAAAGTAGAAACCCAATTTGGCAAAATAATCACAGTGTAAAAAAAAAGCATCAGTGTATGACTTTCAAACATACAGTGTTTATTCTTTTTTTTTTAAAATATTTGGCCAGATTCCTTTTGCATACCCAGACCAAAGATTAAATAAAGAAATAACACACCACGTGTTGCATTGATGTACAAAAACATGCGCTGAGCACACATACTGGGTTATTTGGGACATATAGAGTTAACTTCCATACATCTCCTGGGGAAGTAAAGACGGCCATCATAATGCCGACCACATTACACACCTAGTGCGGATGGTCTGTAAAAATATGGGTGCTCTTCCCATATACCCAATGCGCCTAAGGTGTAAAAAAGGGATCTTTACTCTTACTTCCATTCCATACATCTGCATTAGCTTTTAAAATAATGTTTCATTTTTTTTTTTTTTTAGTATGCTCTACACGTCTATGACACTCTGATGACGGCTGGCAAAGATTATGGCATACGTAATGCCGGATATTACGCCTTACGACATTTACGTATAGAGAACTTCTTTGCCTTCTGGGGCCTTGATCTGGATGACAAAACCACACCGCTGGAGTGTGGCCGAGGCTTCAGGACAAAACTGGACGTGAGTATGATTCATGACAGTGTTTGAGTCGTTCTGCAGGCTCTGACAGGACAAAACTGGACGTGAGTATGATTCATGACAGTGTTTGGGTGCTTCTCCAGGCTCTGACAGGACAAATGTTAGCTGTCTGTGGCATTATTAAAACTAAAAACAAAAACAAAAATAATAAAAAATTTAATTTAAAAAAACAAACTCGGCTTTAGTATGCACTACTTTTTGCACTTATAAAACAGTGCACGCCTGATAAGGAAAACTCACCGACAACCCAAGGAATGGTTCTTCTTATCAGATATTCCTCTAATCCAGATAACATTTCATTAAGCAAAATTGCAGGAGATAAACAGATATGTTCTTAAAAAAAAAAATTGGCCACATCTGATATCACCTTCACAGTCTGCACTGTATTAATAAATTATAATAACAAGTTTGTCATTGAAACTGTTAAAAAATATGGGGTCCTTGGTGGACCTTTGAAAATAAGGCTAAGGGTCTGTGGGACTTACTAACTGGGAACCACTGATCTGGACAAATGCAGGTTAAAGTTTAAAGGTCGCAGGATCGACTTCATTGCACTAGGTTTTATTCCATATAGCTGGGTCTCTCTCTGAGGAATGGCTAGCTGCCTGCTGAGAATGTCACACAAAGCACAAGCTCTGTATTTCTGGCAACAATCCCCAGGGTTCTCCATGAAATTTACATTTGTGAACTGAATAAAAGGTGAAAAAAAAAAAAAAAATTCAGTTTTGTTTGTGTGTGTGTGTGAACTGAATAATTCAGCCATGAACTAATCCATAGCCTTTGGAACACTAGGCAAAAGGCTTGACCACTTTGCCATGGAGACCCCCCCCCCGTTCTAGAAGAATGAATGAATAAATCGGTCAATAATTGCACTCGGATCATTCACACAAGTGCTCTGTCCCCTTCCTCAATAGCCAGTGAAGAGTCGATAATACCGGTTGCAACTGGTTAAAGAGTCCACCTGTGTTTGGTTTTCAGGATTTGAATATCACCCGGAACACCTTGCTTACCTTTCGCTGAATTAGACTTTCTTCTTCTTCTACCTTTCTAGCTCCCAATGGAGCATAGGCCTTCAACCAACCCACGCCAAGTCATTCTATATTTTGCTATCGCATGCAGCTCTCCCCATGCCCTCCCAATCTTTCTAACTTCATTCTCCAGCTCCCTGCTCTGTGTGTTTTTTGGCTTTCCTTTATTCCAATGTCCCTGTGGGCTCCAGTGCAAAGACATTCTAGTTATATTGTTCTCCGGTTTTCTCAGTGTGTGTCCTATCCGACACCAGCATCTTTTATTCACCTCTTGGTCCACTGGAGCTTTCTTAGTTCTCTCTCAAAGCTCTACATTAGTGATTCTATCATACCATTTAATTCCCTGTATTCTGCGCAGGCACCAGTTATTAGACTTAGACCAGCATTAGACTTTCAGCGTACAGATTCTCTGTCTGTTCTATTGCACCATTCATTTGATCCCAGAAAGCCGTCACCATGCCTGCTGTATCATAAAGTAGCTCTCCTCTGAGAGGAGCAGCCAGCATCAGCTAACCTATCAGCTTGCTCATTGTTCTGCACACCTTAGTATCTTGGACAGAAGATCTGTAAAACCACATCGATACTGCCTCCACATGATTTTTCCCGATATGGCCAACTGTCCATGATTCACTTCTATATATCAGGATAGGATTAATAAAGCTCTTGACAATTCTCTTTCTCATCTGACTTGACAAAGGAAGATTACCTTTTTTTTTTATTCATTTTAGTAGTGATTGCCAAATAATCCCAGTGACAAATTACCTAATGTAAAATTGCTTAGTAAAACCACGGACAGTCTGTAAATGCCAGCTTTTGTTGTTGTTGTAGTTGTTGTTTTAGTTGTTGTTGCAGTATTACTAACTTGATTAAGGGAAGTGATTGATGATGCATAAAATGGGATGAATTAAAGATGGGTGAAGAAATAAGGGAGATGTTACAGACAAGCCAATAAAATAGCAAACTCAGTAAAAATAGTAAAGGACCCTTTTCCACACCTTTAGGCATGTAGGGCTAGACCTATATTTTATAGACCAAATGGCACAAGATGGGTGGATGTGGTCAGCATCACGCCGGCCGCCTTTACTTTCTGGGACGGCACGCAGTACCCACTCAAGGCTGGGTTGACCTGGGAGCCAAGATCATTTTTTGAAAAAAAAAATCCAGCTCCGCCGGGGAGAAAACTCAAAAATCCAAAGTCTAAATGGACAAATAACCTGGTCTTTCTGCCAGAGCTTATAGCATGAGAACAATGAAGAAGAAAACTATCTCATCTTATCTCTCTGATGGTGCTATCTCATCTTAACTCTCTTATGGTACTATCTCATCTTAACTCTCTGATGGTGCTATCTCATCTTAACTCTCTGATGCTGCTATCTCATCTTAACTCTCTGATGGTGCTATCTCATCTTAACTCTCTGATGGTGCTATCTCATCCTAACTCTCTGATGGTGCTAACTCATCCTAACTCTCTGATGGTGCTATCTCATCTTAACTCTCTGATGGTGCTATCTCATCTTAACTCTCTGATGGTGCTATCTCATCTTAACTCTCTGATGGTGCTCTAATAATCTCAAATAATCTTGCTTACAGGAGAATGATAATTTCATTGGCAAGGCTGCCTTGTTGGAACAGCGCCGTGTCGGAGTCAAGCGGAGGTTCACCCAGTTCTTATTGGATAACTATGATGTCCACAAGGACTTGTGGCCTTGGGGAGGGGAGCCTATCTACAGAGATGGCCAGTTTGCCGGACTTACCACCACCTGTGGCTATGGGTACGTATGTGATGATGGGGGGAATTGGGAACTTGGCAGAATCAATGATTAATGTGGGGATGGTTGGATAGTAATAGATAGGTGCGAATTGGGAACTTGGCAGAATCAATGATTGATTTGATTGATGGATGGATGGATGTGTGGATGGTTGTCTAGTAATAGATAATTGGGAACTTGGCTGAATCAATGATTCATTTGATAGATGGATGGATAGTAGATTGCGTGGCATGAATGGACTGCTGACCAATGGATGGATAGGTAGAAAAGTTAATTTGTTGATTGATTAATGGATTGAAGGGTGGATGGGCTGACTGAAAGGCATACAGACAGATAAAATAATGAATGGAGAGATACTCAAGTCGTTTCTCCCTGTTTTTGTTTCCTACCCAAGTTATTTCTTCCTGTTTTGTTTCCTGTTGAAATTATTTTATCCCAACTTGTTTTCTCCACAAATTCTTTCATGCTAGTTTGTTCACTATCCAAATTGTTTCATCTGTATTTTAAATTGTTTGCAGGTTTACTATGGACAAGATGGTTTGCCTGGGTTTTGTCAGTCAGATCGATGAGAACGGGGAGATGCTCACCCAGACAAGCATCAATGAGTGGGTGATGAACAAGAACGCTAAATATGAAATAGACATTGCCGGGGTTCGGTACCCTGCAAAGCCAGGAATCTTCACACAGAAGATGTCTTTTCAGGTGGTGGAGCCTTTGTTTGTCCCCGCACCTAATGTATCTCCAACTAAATAACTGGATTTGGGCATAGTCTCGGTGCACGGATTGTTGCAGTTTCCAGATGTCTTTCTGCTTTGAAGTAATGTCATGTTTAAGAAGACAAGGTTTAATGAATACTCTGAGAGAGGAACCAGGGGACAGGTTAGAAAATATGCAGTCATTAGGCAGAGGTGAACCAGGGATTGTTTAGAAAAGATACAGTATTAAGGTAGGGAAGAACCAATGACTGTTAGAAAAGATGTATTATTTATGTCTTGACGATCCAATCACTGTTCTAACGTGAGGTAATCTTTAGACAGGGATGAACTGACTGTTAGAAAAGATGCATTATTTATGTCTTGACGATCCAATCACTGATCTGACGCAAGGTAATCTTTAGACAGGGATAAACCAGTAACTGTTCTCAAATAGATGTAACGTTTAGGTGGAGATGAGCCAGACAAGTTGTCTGAAAGGATGTATTGTTTAAGTGGGCATAATTTGCCTAGTCTGTGATTGTGTGGTGTTTAAGTGCAGTGATCCAATAGACAGCAGTGATCCAATAGACAGTCTAAAGTGATGTCATTTTTAGATAGAAATGACCTGCTGGTGGATCTGAAGTGATGTAATTTTTAGGTAAAGAGGATCCAGTGACTGGTCTGAAATGGTGAAATGTTTCGGTAAAGATCAACGAGAGGCAAGCCTGAAGTGATTCAAAGTCCATCAGACACTGACTGAGAAGTGGCTATACAGTTAAGAACCCTGGGCTGTCCTGTGAAAGACCTAGGCTCAAATTCCTGCTAAGATTATGGGGGGGGGGGTGTTTCTCCTGTTGGTGCTAAAAATTAAATCCTGACTTGCGCAATTTGCGGTGACTGCGCTGGCCAGAGGCCCTAAATCCTCAGGCTTAAAGACCTGAGAAGTTTACGGACTCTTGTCATTGGAGTGGCTGGACTTGATGGCCGTAACCTCTGTCAAGATCGCCTTGGTGACTCTAAGAATCGAACATACCACAGAAAGGGATCCGGTTTGAGTTGTGAGAAAACTTGTAAAACTCACTGGCCAGACTGGTTTCCACTGCTAGAGGAGCCTTCCTGAAATCATCATCCTGTTGTGTCCATACGTGTCACATAGGGCTCACAGTCTGGACCTTGATTCCGTTATTTCCTGCTCAGTTCTTTCGATATTATGGATGTAATCAAGCCTAGCAGCCTTGGCCTCCTTAACCACATTTGTTTCAGGGTTCCTCTTGGATGTCCTCATTTTGTTTCTTTATCTATTTGTTTCTCACTTCACTGCCTGTTTAGTGAGTCTCTTATCTGCTTCTCCTCATCATGTACCCAGTATATTGATGATATTGCCATCTTGGTTTTCTTAAAACTGTTCATATATGTGGTTGTTCAGATATTTCTCTTATTATTTTCCTGAGATGGTTCTAGCAATAAGCAGGACCGCTAAATGGCACCAACAGCAAGTAGCACCTCTGTGAGATGGTTCTAGCAATTAGCAGGACCGCTAGATGGCACCAACAGTGAGTAGCACCTGTGAGATAGTTCTAGCAATTAGCAGGACCGCTAGATGAGACCAACAGTAAGTAGCATCTCTGTGAGATAGTTCCAGCAATTAGCAGGATCGCTAGATGGCACCAACAGTGAGTAGCACCTGTGAGATAGTTCTAGCAATTAGCAGGACCGCTAGATGGCACCAACAGTGAGTAGCACCTGTGAGATAGTTCTAGCAATTAGCAGGACCGCTAGATGGCACCAACAGTGAGTAGCACCTGTGAGATAGTTCTAGCAATTAGCAGGACCGCTAGATGGCACCAACAGTGAGTAGCACCTGTGAGATGGTTCTAGCAATTAGCAGGACCGCTAGATGGCACCAACAGTGAGTAGCACCTGTGAGATGGTTCTAGCAATTAGCAGGATCGCTAGATGGCACCAACAATAAGTAGCACCTGTGAGATGGTTCTAGCAATTAGCAGGACCGCTAGATGGCACCAACAGTGAGTAGCACCTGTGAGATAGTTCTAGCAATTAGCAGGACCGCTAGATGGCACCAACAGTGAGTAGCACCTGTGAGATAGTTCTAGCAATTAGCAGGACCGCTAGATGGCACCAACAGTGAGTAGCACCTGTGAGATGGTTCTAGCAATTAGAAGGATCGCTAGATGGCACCAACAATAAGTAGCACCTGTGAGATGGTTCTAGCAATTAGCAGGACCGCTAGATGGCACCAACAGTAAGTAGCACCTGTAAGATGGTTCTAGCAATTAGCAGGACCGCTAGATGGCACCAACAGTAAGTAGCACCTCTGAGATGGTTCTAGCAATTAGCAGGACCGCTAGATGGCACCAACAGTAAGTAGCACCTCTGAGATGGTTCTAGCAAATAGCAGGACCGCTAGATGGCACCAACAATAAGTAGCACCTGTGAGATGGTTCTAGCAATTAGCAGGACCGCTAGATGGCACCAACAATAAGTAGCACCTGTGAGATGGTTCTAGCAATTAGCAGGACCGCTAGATGGCACCAACAATAAGTAGCACCTCTGTGAGATGGTTCTAGCAATTAGCAGGACTGCTAGATGGCACCAACAATAAGTAGCACCTCTGTGAGATGGTTCTAGCAATTAGCAGGACCGCTAGATGGCACCAACAGTAAGTAGCACCTGTAAGATGGTTCTAGCAATTAGCAGGACCGCTAGATGGCACCAACAATAAGTAGCACCTGTGAGATGGTTCTAGCAATTAGCAGGACCGCTAGATGGCACCAACAATAAGTAGCACCTCTGTGAGATGGTTCTAGCAAATAGCAGGACCGCTAGATGGCACCAACAATAAGTAGCACCTGTGAGATGGTTCTAGCAATTAGCAGGAACGCTAGATGGCACCAACAATAAGTAGCACCTGTGAGATGGTTCTAGCAATTAGCAGGACCGCTAGATGGCACCAACAATAAGTAGCACCTCTGTGAGATGGTTCTAGCAATTAGCAGGACCGCTAGATGGCACCAACAATAAGTAGCACCTGTGAGATGGTTCTAGCAATTAGCAGGACCGCTAGATGGCACCAACAATAAGTAGCACCTGTGAGATGGTTCTAGCAAATAGCAGGACTGCTAGATGGCACCAACAGTAAGTAGCACCTGTGAGATGGTTCTAGCAATTAGCAGGACTGCTAGATGGCATCAATAGTGAGTAGCACTACTATGAGATACTGACAATTAGCAGGACCACTATGAAATGCCATCATTTAGGAGAATTTCTATGAGATGCTGACAATTAAGTGCTCTGTTCTACTTCTCACTCAAGCCTGAGTTCGAATAATCTCAGCGCATTGCACGAACTCCGTAGCACCGGCTAGGATCCTGGAATACTTTTGGTAGATTTTAACTCTAACAATGCACAAGGACGACCGATCTTACTACCCAGAGACCAGGGAAAATTACTAGAAGTCCACATAAAAAAAATACCAGCCCTCAACTGGGCTTGAACTTGGGACCTCCAGCACTTGAGGTGGACGCCATGCCTTGAGACCACTCAGTCCTCCAGCAGATCAGAGACTGTGCTAAGTCTCAGTGTATTTTGATTTGACCTCTATGCCAGATAGGCATGCGATTACCATTCTGAAACCCCTTGTGATATTAATTTTTGTTTTTTGTTGTTGTATTGATTCATTCATTTACCTGTGGTGCCATTGTATGCTACAAGGGCTGGCAGTGTGTTCCTTCATAGCCACCCCTGTTATTTCTTTTCATTACTGGTGTGAATATCTATTTAGAAAAATGTGATTGATATGTGTTGTAGAACTAGGAAGATTGTATGATTATGTTTTATTGCATGGCATCATTGTTGCAGCACTCAGAGGCAAGCCATTGGGTGCTCAGTCTTTCCAGGCACAGCCAAAGGGCGTGGTTGATGATTTTCTTTATTGGGAGCTGGTTAGCTACATGTTAAAAAAGTTCCTAGGTGCATGTCTCTATGTCCACCCCCACCCCAGGCCCTCCCCCCACCCCAGCCAAATCTCTCAGTTCCTGACTCCATCCACACACTCTCACAGTTCCTACAGGCCCAGAAGCACTTGGAGGTGAACCTTTGAGACTGAACTCAAGACTATGCGAAGGACAAAACTGGAGATAGATAGGAGGGCTCAGAATCAAACTTAGTGGCAACATTTTGTCTCTGCCTTATGTGCCTCTGGACGCGATAGGGATTGATTGATTGATAACTAACATAATTTATTGCATCTGAGTCTGCTTAAACGTTCAGCAATACAGGGAATGACCACATTTACTAAAAGTAGCAAGAAGACTAAAATGGTTTCATTTATAGAATCCCTATGTCATTTTTTTCCCCATTAGCTGCAAACGTGACCCTGTTCACCATGTGAAGTGTCACGTTATGATTAGTTTACGGGCCGCAAGAGATGTCAGCCAGTTAAGTATGTGCTGTATTTATTGTTATTGATTGCTCCCTTACTCTATATAGTATTTGTTCATGTTTCGGATGATAAATTGATAGTGAGTGACTTTTTTTGTTTATGATGTGTAAATTGGTTGTTTTTAGAACAATATTGAGGAAGGGGGGGGGGAGGGAGCTAAAATGGAAAGTACTGGAGCTTGTTTTGCTCTTTCTAGGTCACCAGAGAGAAAGGTTTAAGTCCTCGAGATTTGTTTGGTTCTTGTATCTTAACCATTCAATAAGATGCTATAGCCAGACTTGTGTCTGTCCTCCTCAGTTGACTCTTATGGCATGTATGATATTGTACTATGTGTCTGTTGTTTGAGGGTGCTCTGGTAACACATGGGCACCTTGTGGGTTGTAATTGTTAATTTAGATCAAGGATTTTTTTTTGTTAATTTATTTGTGGGTTTTTTTTTTCAAGCAATTCTGATAAAGATGATTATGAAGAAGATATTATTTAAAGTGTTGTTTACTTTGAGGAAAAGTGGCAAGTCTGTATGCCATACAGAAGATGAAAATAGGTTCTGATCAGTTTCAAATTCCATAGTTCTTGGTTCAAATTTGGGTCAGAAC